TCAACCAGTCAATCCACACACGCACACCGTCTCCTTGCAACGAGAGGAAACCCATTGCAAATGAAATATTGTTTATAAACAGCATGAATAGGTAAAAGACGCTAAGTTCTCAATGAGTGCAAAGCCAAACAAAAAGGACATCAATCAAGGGTAGAGAAGAGCCAAATCCGCCGATGATGCCTGGGTTGGAGCATCAATACATAAGATCACGATTTAACGGGAGTGGATGCTAGATTGTCCGGGTCCGAGCCAAACTCCCATCGGACAGATCCGGGGGGATCTCGGACGCAAACGAAAACAGCAAAATAAAGTTCTGGGGTCGGCGTGCTTAGGCGATTCCAAGCGGTGGCACCATCCCCTGTTCCTCGCGTGTCTCGCCGCCAAGCTTGTAAGACACCTTGAACCGAATTTTCACCGAGTTGCCCTTTCCAACATCAATTCCGTCGATGAGCATCTCCTGTTGGACCCCATTTTGCTGCTGGGGTGCAATGTCTCGGCCCGATTGCGGCCGAAGCTGTAACGTGTAAGACTAATTAATTGTCAGCAAACTCATCTTGAAAGTGGACTACGTTAATAGTAGCAAATGGCTTACCTTCTCCACAGCAACTTGGAAATGGAGATCTCCAATACGTTGACTGGTTGTGTTTGAGAAGATGGCTACAACGTGAATCTGGCGTGGCTGGTTCGGCACCCGGCGCGCAGCAAAGTCAACACAGAGCTGAGAGTTGAGGACTTGGATCTTGTTGGTCGATGGAAGTGCGTTGCTCGCTGGCAATGCGGATGCGAAATCCCACTCATCATCTTCCACTGGAGCGGCCTGCCGCGCCGGTTGCGGGGAGGGACCCGTGTCTCCGACTAGGTCAAGCAATGATGACGAAGCGGGGGCAGCTTGGCTTTGCGCCGGTGGCTGGAAGGGACTAGATGTTGCCCGTGGGCTGGCAGAGACGAGCGATGCAAATGGGTCAGCCGGTGGTGGCGGAGTCGCTGTGGACTGAACTTGGGGCGAGACCCCCATGACGGGTGTGGGGGATTGAGAGACAGGTCGCGAACTGTTCATAGAAGCAAGGATATCATAATTGGGTTTGAAGGCTGTTGGCGCCTGCTGCTGAGATTGTGGTGGAACAGGCGGCGTGGAGCTTGCTGACGTGGACGGGAAATTCACTTTGATATTGGTCAGCAGGGTGCTTCTTTGGGAAATATGGTACTTACTAGAAGATCCGAGAGAGATACCACCTCCGGGAGAGGGACCTTGTTCACCTAATGAAAGGCCGAGCAGGTCATTCTCCAAGGAGTTACCACCCTGGGATGGCACCGCCTCGTTGCCGTTGAAACTGGGTTCAGGCTCCGGGTCGAAATCGATAAGAGAGAGCTCGTTGTTTGCATTTGTTGACACTCCGGTCGTGGTGCCCAGTGTACCCTTGGGGATCTGAGATGCAGCAGCCAGATCACCCTTTTTGACTAGCTTATACCGCTCGATTGTGCGATGTATGCTATCGTTTATCTCCAATAGCTTATGGACGGCCTCGGGATCATCCGATTCTTCCTCGCACATTTTCTGGATTTTGGGGTGAGCGCTTTGCAGAGCACTCGCAAGTTCCTAGTAAGAACATCAGAGACCAATCAACTAGCAAAAAACACGTGTGACGTATTATCACCTACCTCGAAAACGTCGCCTTCGGGAAGAGCTTCCCCGGGCTGTTGATTCTGTAGCATCTCTTCCAGAATCTTGGCTTTTTGTTGCACCTTAACAACCTCCTCCGCGGCCTTTGCTCGATAGTCGGTTTTATGCCGATTGTCGAATCCTGCCATGACCTTCATGAGCCGGTTCGCTTCCTGTAGATCGGAGGGAGTGCCTCTCCGAATCAACTCCTGAAGTTTAGCAGACTGTGCTTCCTTCTCTTCCTCTTCCATCTCATCCGCGGAGCGGAGATTCTAGCTATCGTTAGTTTGACTCCGAAAACAATACTATGTGGGGTCCACATACATCACTTGGGTTCAAGACCGCAGCATCTTCTCGGCGGACCTCCGGGAACATGTACCCCTTATAAAGCAACAGACGGTGCATGTCCCGGATAAAGCCTAGGTCATCCTTATAGCGTGATGTCTGGCAGATAGTCTGGCGCCACTCCTCGATCGACTCCAAAATACGGTGCTGGACCCTGGAGGGCCGTATAGGTGGCCGCTCGGGGAACCTGCGGACCAATTCATTCAAGAATTCCTTTGTGCCAATCTGTAGATGGAATGGATATCCACAGTTCTTGACGGCAATATCGAGTAGCTAGAAACCGCGGTTGTCAGTCTCCCCCGCGCCAGCTGTCATTTGAGCTCCCCACGTACCGCCAACGCCAACAATGCGACATTCTGGTTTCGGGAATTGATAAGATGAACGATATCGAATGCAGCTTCTCGTGGTCTAAGAAATGAATTCGTGAGTGCGCGCCATACAACGTGAGTGTTCTCACTCACGCATTGCCTTTCTTAGAGTTGATTAGATCCACAACTTCGAGGTTCAGGGCCAGGTTCGGCTCGTAGTTTTGAGGGTCGCAGGCATTTCCTATGGATAATTAAGCATCAGTATAAATCATCTGTGTTACATTCATTCCAACACTAGACTCACGAATTGCCCGCTGCAACGGCGAAGCGCCTGGCTCGGCGTAGACACCGAAGCGGTCTCTAGCCGCCATTCGTGCAGATGCAGCCTCCAGAATGACGGTGGACAAAAGACAATAGAGAAAAGGGTATTAGTCGGATAAAGAGGGACGTACTGGAAAGCACAAGGACCCAGAGGAGATGTGTACAGTCGCGGACGGGGATGCGGGCGGAGAACCCGTTTAGCCTGCACGTGTGGCGCTTGTGCTTGGGCTGGGCTCGTTTTTTTTTTCTCAATCACTACGTTTACCACTACAGAATACTTCAAGATACTCTGAGTAGGATATTCTTGAATATTGTCTTTAAATTCTTTATCTCACCATTCACCATGGTCCGCCACAAAAAAGACAACTTTGCGCGAGGAGGCAAGAAATTCAACAACAGCCCCCGCCCCCGAGTGCCCCGCGGTGATGAAGGCGAGGGCGCGATCTCCTCGAGGCCTCCTTACAAGGCTGCCTGTTGGGATATGGGACACTGCGACCCCAAGCGATGCTCAGGAAAGCGACTGATGAAGCTCGGTCTGATGCGGGAGCTTCACATTGGCCAGCGGCACTCCGGCGTGATCGTCTCGTATGTTTCGACGCACAATTTTTGGGGTTTTATTAAGTTGTATACTGACGATTGACCAGCCCAAATGCCAAGCGAATCATTTCTCCCGCAGACAAAGATATCATGGAACAGTACGGTGCTGCCGTGGTGGAATGCTCTTGGGTGCGAGTCAAGGAAGTGCCCTGGTCGCGGATCGGCGGGAAATGTGAACGACTTCGTATGTGATAAGAATTGGGCGACGGTGAACTGGATTCATGGGATGCTAACTATGTTGGTATATAGTTCCCTACCTTATCGCCGCCAACACGGTTAACTACGGCAAACCATGGCGCCTGAACTGCGTCGAAGCGCTCGCCGCTTGTTTCGCCATCTGCCGTCGCTTGGAATGGGCGGAAGATCTCCTCAGGCATTTCAGCTATGGGCCGTCTTTCTTGGAAATTAACAAAGAACTTCTGGCGCGCTACGCCGCCTGCGAAACAGAAGAGGATGTAAAGAGAACGGAAGAGGAATGGCTAGCCAAGATCGAACGCGAATACGAAGACAATCGCATTGATGGAGGTGATGATATCTGGACCAAAGGAAACACCAATCGTTTGCCCGCACGAACTTCAGACGACGGGGACGACGAAAGCGGGGATGAAGATGATGAAGATGAGGGCAGCGAGGAAGAGGAAGATGAGGACAAGGACCCATTCGCGATTTCTGATGACTCCGAAGATGAAGAGCAAATGGCCGAAATTCGCCGCAAGATTCTCAATTCTAAATCGTTCCAGAATCCAGAAGAAGAAGAAAAGCAGCAGCCAGAGAAAATTTCTCGGCCGGAGCAGCTGTATGTCGACTCAGATGCTGAGTCCGGCTCAGGAGGAAGCGAGGACGAGGCATTCGACAATATCATCAATGCGACGACGGTCACTGACCGCACGGGAATCAATGCGATTCAGCGGCGGAAAGGAAATGAGTCTGTCTCTGCCTCGTTCTCTCGGGCAGAGATTTCTGCCCCGAAGAAATGGTGAACGTAAGGCCTACTGAACATCAATAACTCACATTCAACGGACCTTGGTTGGCTACTACCATTTTCTGGAGTATCTGGGGTGTTCCTTTCTTCTTGCAACGCCCACAGGCAGCTTTGTTGTGACCACTACCCTAGCAAGTGCACTTGGGCCATTCAATTTGAGTCTAGCATTCTGATACCCAGTATTGCCACTCATGATCTCGTCATTGGGCTGGGATCATTCTTCTGAAAGTGTGCCTCGGTCAATTTTTGGGATCACCAAGTTTCCTTTTACTAGACCGTTCTACCTCTGCACCTATATCCGCTCCTTGGTTATTGAGCTGCGAATATCTATGTGTTATGACTCATTAACGATATCTGGCTTATTTTATACTCGGCGAGGGTCCAGATCTCTATATGCACCAAAAGGGGAAAAGTACCAGGTACCATCCAGGGATGGCACACATCAAATTCACTATTTCTTTTCCAAGGTTAGCTTAGCTTCTAAAACTATAGTTGTGATTCCAAAGGGCATAGTCATGCCCTCCGAATGTGGAATCGGAGCGAGACCAAGGCAAGCGCCAATATAAGTCCCTACGTTCCCTCAAGTCAACTCACAGGAATCATCCACCTTACAAATACGCGTAACTCAACGATCACTCACAAGAATACCTCCCAAACACCCATCCCTTGTGAACTCCAATCACTTGTCAACCCACTCAAACCCATACAATAAGAAAGAATTCTCACTAGAGTCACATCTGTTTATCAAACACCGAACGCCGGCGGTAGGTCAGCCCATATCAACAGAATGGACGTGATGGCCATCCTTGGGCTTAAAGTGCAAGGCACAAAGGCACCCGACCTCGAGCAGCAGAATCAAAACACCAACCGCTTGCTCCTCCGAGAGCCCGAATGGAGAGTATCTTTGGTTAACCCGCAGTGCATGATTAACAATCTTGGACCAACATATAACTCCATGCCGCCACAGCGTGACGACAAGCATGATGACACGCTTACGCCTAAGGACTCTCAAGAACAAAATGCACAACTGAGACATGAGGTGACGAAACAGGCGCAGATCATCCTCGATCTCACGAAGAAGCACAAAGAAGCCGTGGGCCGGTTTGAACAACACACGGCAAATATCACATACGAACTCGAGGAACAGGAAAAGAAAATTTCCGACCTCGAGTTCCAAAAAGGAAAGTTTGTTCTTGACCCCGAGGAACTACCAAAGAAGATTGCTGAACTCGAGCGCCAAAATGGAATGCTGGTTCATAGTCTCGAGGAACAGACTAGGATAGTCTCTACGCTGGAAAAGCGGGACGCGAAGATGAAGGAAGTCTTCGATAACATTTCCAGCACAATGTTTTTGGAGCTCGAGTACCAGGAAGAACTGATCAACGAAATGACACCAGGCGAAGGGGAGTTTTTCCAGCTAAGCCACAATACCCTAGTGGATCTGGTTGAACTCATTGAGCAATGGACAGCAGACGACAAGCATTCAGAGATGATGTTCAATCTTGAAGATGAGCCGCAGTTTGAACAGCTATACGCGGAACTGTTGTCTCGATTCAACGAACAATCATGCCAGCTCAAAATGCAGGCAATGAAGCTCGGTAGGCAGAAAGGCATGATTGACGAACAAAGGAGCATTATCTTCGAACTCGAGGCGCAGAAACGAAAGCTTGCTGGCGATCTTGAAGAACAAGATGGAAAGGTGGCTTCGTTGCTTGAGTTTTTGGAAGGGAATGGTGTAGAATTCACATTCCTCTGGAACTAGGATCGGAGAGAAGAGCTAATTGTTCTCACAAAAGATGTGCTTAATGATAATAAAGGTGGCAGTATTAAATACCCAAACCCAATCGTTTCTAAGGAAGAATATCAGACTTGTCAGATGCGAATCTCGTACCACAAAGGGAACCCTAGGTAGAGTCATCCACCATGTCGATTCCAATCTTATCGCCTCGACTAGATACTGGTATAGTATAAAACTGAGCAACATGGATTCAATTAAACGTAGGCAACTATGGAGTCCTCCCTTCGAGGATCGTACATTAAAGTGAGTGCTACTTGTCTCCGGTTGTGATCTCTTTCATCCCTCGGCTCACCTCACCCTCATGTCAAAGGTTCTAGACTATCCTTGTGTGAGCTCACTTCACTCTCATTTCACTCTGTATGTTACTATGTTGCCAAGCAGAGCCTTTTTGTTCTTCGTCAATGATCCTCTGAAATTTCACCAACGAAATTTTCATTCTCTCTTTTTCCATTAAATTAAAAGTACATTCGACAAATAATCACATTAAATATTATTCACATCACTCTCACTTCGGAAGTCAAATGGTTAAGCAGGGTTGCAGGAAGGGATATTTAGATGCGAGCCAGCCTAACCATTTTACATCATATTAGGTCCCTAAATTAAACCTCTAATCTCAACTCCTTCTCACAACCGTTGCTGCCTGCAAAAACTGACGCTATGGTGCCGATGGCATCGCGGGCAATCGACTGCATGATGTTTGGGCCAAGAATGCGTCAACGAGTGTGAAGAAGTGTGACAGATGAACGGGTTTGCATCCATATAGACCGGACGGGTGGGAGCTCGACTGGGTCGGTACTTTCGGCGGGGAGCGTATCTGAGGGCGTTTCGATTTTGGGATGGTGCTGGGGTAGGCAGCAAAGGTGGAGTTGTCGAAGGCATGGTTGGAATGTTGGAGGAACCTCGTTGGCTGGTATATATTAGGATTAGCCTCGCTCTGTAAATAGATTTATATGCCACATACCTGCTCAAGCCTCGTTCTATGCTGAATTTAAGTGGATAACACAATCTGATTTATCGGTTTAAAGTATTAATCTTGGACGCTGCTTAGGCTTTGTGTTTGGCTTGCAGGGCAAACATAACAGAAAGACTTCATGGGACGTCCAGGAAACGCAGGACTGGGGAGTATGCAAGGGCTAAAATAAATTCAATTTCTTTTTAAAGAAAAAAGGTTGAGTCGGACATGCAAGGTATCAACAAGATAATGATCTCTATGTCTGGGATATCATCTAGACAAAAAACAGTTGAGAATTGAGGTGGAAAATACAGACCTCGAGTTAATCTTAGCTTGGCCAATTGCTATTGTGATATCATTCCGCATACAGCATTTGGTTTCTGAATGGGAGGGACGAGGAACATTTTGACAGGGATTAGACAAAAGAAAAGGGGTATATCTGCATGGTTCAACACAAGGGCATTGTCGATGAGACACTAGACCGAGCATTCTACGTATCGAATTAGTATGAGTATTTCAGAGCTTAGGGTTTAGTGGCATAGATGCTGGAAAAAAAATAAAGAACTATCTAGGCTATAAGGGCCGAAGCTTTAAATATATATCCTGGTCTAATGCATACAAATATCGAATTGTTCTGTGTTATTCAAGACATCATTCACTTATAAAGTACTATATAAGCACTATAAAAGCACTAACCCCGCGATGGCGGGGCAAAATCGCTTCCCAGGTCCTAGATATCAAGTACACCATTTAGCAAACCTCCCTTACACGACCCCCTTTATTTAGAAATACACATGCAGGTAGAACAAAATGTCAATATTCTACTCTTCTACTTCTAAGTTGAGTTAGCACACGTGGCGGGTGAGGTTCAAAACTCACCGGGGACGGAAATCCTTTCCACTTTTCCCACAATCCCGCAACCCACTTTCAACAACCACCCTTGGACTACCATTGAACAATAGTGCAAATATGCCCGATAAAGACTCCAGCACGCCCCGTGTCTTCCTCTACCGACACGGTATGTTCTAGAGCGGCAATATCTTCTTTCCGTAGTCTAACCAGATTATAGGGCAGACGGAATGGTCCAAGAACGGACGGTACACCGGAATCACTGAGCTTGAGCTCACCCAAGATGGTGTCAACCAGGTCAATGCATCTGGCAAGATGATTGTCGGATCCGGTAGATTGATTGACCCGGCTAAGCTTGCCCATGTCTATATCAGTCCTCGCAGGCGGGCGATCCAGACCTTTGAGATTGCTTTCTCTGATACCGATAAGCAGACGCTTAAGGATACGCAGAGGGTCTCTGAGACCGACAGACTGGCCGAGTGGGACTACGGTTTGTATGAGGGTCTGTTGACTAAACAAATCCGGGCCTTGAGAAAGGAGCACGGTCTGGATACCGAGAGCGAGTGGGATATCTGGAGAGACGGCTGCGAGAATGGAGAGTAAGTCTTTTTTTTTTCTTAAAAAAAAATCTCTTTTGAATTTAGGTCCAATCGCCTACGATCAAGTATATCTGACCGGGTCAATCCAGGTCTGCGCAAGAGGTGACGGACCGTCTTGATAATCTCATTCAGGAGATTCGCGCGATGCACAAGGACAACATGCATGGAGAGAATCCTTCTGATATTCTGCTGGTGGCACATGGACATTTGCTTCGCGCCTTTACCAAGCGCTGGTTGGGATATCCTATGGAGTTCCCTCTTTCTCTGATGCTCGACCCTGGCGCTGTTGGCGTCCTCAGGTAATTCTCCTTTATCCCACTTCACTAGCCTAGCACTGACATTTTCCTATTTTCAGTTATCAGCATCACAGTATTGATGAGCCTGCTATGCTGGTTGGATACGGATACCCGTTGCAGGAATGATCTGGTGAACCTGGATAGTGCACATTTCATACAAAGTTAACCGGGTGGTTACTAAATATAGACTTGATACATCATAACAGTATTAAGTAAAAATCTATACGCTCTCCTCCAGGGCAAGTAGAATATTTATAGTATCAACCTCCGTCTAATAGTAAACGAGGTAAATACTGTATGAAATCATAAAGAATCCGCAGAGAAAAATCATTTTTCACAGGAACAGATACGTCATAACTTCAGAGCCTCCAAAATCTTCTGAAACGCATGGTGGCTATGTTCCAGATCACCCGGTTAAAGGAACCAGTTCATCAAGTCATGAAGTTCATCAGGTTCATCAGGAGCTCAGCCCTACTGCCAAGCCAAACTCCCCCGCAATGCTACTCTGTTCGCCTGACCTGACCAACTGACAACTCATCTGGTTCTGCCCCTGTCACCCACCTAAATGTTGTGTTTTCACTTCAAATATGACATCGATACGAGAGTGCCTTCAAAGGCAGACAAGATCAGGTGGGAATGGAGGCTCTTGGCTGAAGAGCACCGGATGGCACTAACACTAGATCGTCAACTAACGGGGGCTAGGGGACTAGCTATATGATCGTCTCTCCCCTGATGAGTTTCATTTATTTCTTTGCATCTTTGCGCCCTGACATGTGCTTTTCGAGGATTTTCCTCGGGATCAATTTTACTACGATTTTATCATAGAAAACGCTTCAACCTTGAGACTGGAAGCAAAGTCGGCGCCAACACCATGCCGCACCACAAACCAGACGAGTTGTCGGTCGCTGATGCCAGGAAAAAGGTTCACGAGGTCTCAACTTCCACATCTCCAACACCAGCACAAGAAAAACGCGGCTCCACCTTGATAAATTTCTTCTCATCCTTTCTTGGTCCTAAAAACCCACTCGCGCACCCAGCAGACCCACGCGAGCACACCGTGTGGCTGCTAGACAATACAGCGTATCAACCGGTAAATGAGGAGACAGACGAAAACCAGCTGTGCTGGCATGCCGAAGTAGTAGCTTGCATTTTCGAAACAGAAGGTCGGAAAGACGTTGGCAACCTTGTCGCCGCGATCGCCGACCACATCGGGCTGGACGGCGAGGTGGGCAGCCACGACGAAGCACGCCGACGCATTGCAGAGCGCGTTCAGCCTTTCCTCAACCAGGTCTCACCAGCGCGCACGGTCACGTTGCAGGTGCCCCTATCTCGGCCGGCGCAGTCGCACGGACTCGGCCCGTCCGACCGCAACGGCATCGTCAGCCAGACGGTCGATATGGGCGAAGTCGAGGTCTACGATGGAGCTGTTGTGCGACCGCGACTTCAGAATTTCGGCGATGAGGCTGTGTCGATGAGCACTACTTTTGCTGCGCCTGAGGGCTGGCTGGTTGTCTCGGATATTGATGACACTATTAAGCATACTATGACGCTTGAGCCGACGGGGGTTATTCGCACGACATTTGCGGATATCCCTGAGCCTATTTCTGGTATGCCGGAGCTTTATAAATATGTTCATTCCGAGCTATTCCCGGCGTGGTTTTATCTCTCCGCGTCGCCGTATAATCTGTACCCTTTTCTGCATGACTTCTTGGATGAACACTATTGCCCGGGTACGTTGGTGTTACGTGATTACTCGTGGATGGATATCACGGGGCTTATCAAGTCCTTCACTGAGAAGACGCAGGAGTACAAGGTTGATCGGATGGAGAAGATTCGGGGGTGGTTCCCGCGTCGGCGGGTGCTTTGTATAGGGGATTCGACGCAGAAGGATCCGGAGGCTTATGCGGAGATATATAGGCGATATCCCGAGTGGATTCATGCTATCATTATTCGCAAGGTTAAGGATGTGGCGCATATGGAAGAGAAGAATGAACCGGCGAGGTTTGAGAAGGCGTTTCAGTATGTTCCGTCTCATATTTGGACGGTCTTTGAGGACCCGGAGGAGTTGTATAATTTTGTTGATGGGCTGGGTATGGAGGACCAGGCTTTGTAGATGTAATAATCTGTACATATCTAGTTGGATTGGCTATTTTGAACTCTATGCTTTCAAACATCTTCCACCTTTCCCATCGTGATATTCAGTGACACGCAAAAACAACTTTGCCATGCCAGCAGAAAGATAAGAGACAAGGCCAAAGATGTCCAAAGATAGGGCTCTGAGAAATACAAAGTCATCACCTGTATTGACCGGCGATCAAAACGGCTCGGGTCCAGACGGAAGGCAAACACCAAGACAAGCGGATTGAGGAATAAGAAATACACCGTAACAATCAACCCGCTAGACTATAGTGTCCACCGTACCTTGGAGGTGTAGGGCAAGCAACGATCCATATCACCCCAGTGGAATGCGATGCCCAGGTCAGCTGTAGGGGCTACATTTTCAAATAAACTGCATTTACCTTTCAATATATCTGAACTCTCAATTACAGATTTGAGCATGATATGTGATATAAAACTAGTTCTTTGGCTTTTGATTTCACCTTCTATATCCGCCCACTAGTGCCATTGTTTTGATATTGAACCGCATTACCCATCTTTCGCGAACCCATAAACTCTATATGCTATATTTCCATGTCAAATCAAGTCAAATGGAAATATGAGATTGAATTTCTGCTCATTGCAATGGAATTGATCGGGATTGTCAAGTGGCGATGTTGATCTAAGCCCCACATCTGTACGTCAAGCTTAGGAAATGGCCTCCGATGTATAGACCTGTGATGGCAAAAAAGAAGACCCTACTTCCAAGGGCTTAACTTCCTTACAAGCAACTCGTTGGAAAGATTCAAAGTTCTCTAGACTAATAAGATGCATCAAGATCCCAATGACACTATGCAGTCAGACATACCCCCGACGCAACCCATCGTGGAACGAGACCCCAAGCATCCATCAGAGCCCTCAACGCGCACTCCAGAAGCCATGGAGCAGCCATCCGAGACCCCCAAACGCACCTCAGAAGCGACAGGACGGACTTCAGAAGCCATAAGGCCCAGTTCACATGCCGCAAAGCCCACCTCATCCACGTTGAACGACTCACCATTCATACCACTATCGATGCGAGCCCTCTACTACACCCCAGACGGATTAGACAGCGAAATGTCCGACGGAATCCCGGAAGGAGAAATCAGCGAAGCCCTCTCGCCCGACACAAGCACAAGCATCATCCGCCAGAAAGGAACAAATCTCGTCTTCGACGCTGGCTTCCCAACCCCGCAGCCCTCTGCTCAGCAATACCTGCTGAAGATCACCACAGCCGCATTCTGCCATGACGAGATCCGTCTCGCCACACTCCTCAACCCCCCAAACACCACGCCGCAGATCCCACTCCACAGTCTCTGCGGGACAGTCATCAGCACGCCGCGCGAAGACGACGAGCGGGAAGAAGGCCCGAGATTCAAAATTGGAGATATAGTTTTCGGCGTGGTGAGCTATACTCGTGACGGCGGAGCGGCAGACTATGCAGTTGCGACCGAGGGTGAGCTAGCACTGAAACCAGACAATATCACTGTAGCTGGGGCAGCGGCACTTGCGTTGCCGGCGTTGACGGCCTGGCAGGCGCTTTTCAGGTATGCCGGGCTTGATCCCAATGTGCCTGGCGGGCTGGGTGAGGTGGATGATGAGTTTGGGAGTGGTGGGAATGGGGTGGGACGGTGGCTCTGGCAGCGTCAACGCCGTGAGTCCGTACTAGGTAGCAAGGATTATGGCTACGGACACCGCAAAAGCACAGTTGCCGGTAACGGCGGCATGCTAAATGATACTACCAGTGGTACTGGCAGCGGAGCTGAGAACGGGCGTTGGATTTGGCAGTGGAATGGCCGCGGCTCTGCACTCAATGGCAATGCCCCTGGCACCATCAATGGCAATGGTGATGACATTGACAACATCCCTCCTGCTGCTAGAGCAGTCAATTCCACTCCTAATCCTAAAAATGTGCGTCGCGAGAGCCTAATCAGTCTCGTTAGCGGCAATCCCAGTGGCAAGAAAACCATTCCTCGCGCTGCCAGCACAGTCGATCCCAATCCCAAAAGTACTGTCCGCCGCAACAGTTTGATAACCCTGATCAAAGGCAATACCGACGCTCCAGCTACTCGCGCTGCCAGCACAGTCGATCCTACTACCGGTGCCGATACAAATGGAAATTCGCGCCGCGCCAGCCTGGTCGACCTAGTCACCGGCAATGGTAGCTCTGGACGGCGTGGCAGCCTGCTAGGAAGTATAATTGGTGGCACGAATTCCAATGGCAACGGGAAGCAAAAACTGCCCAAGATCCGAGTGCTCGTCACTAACGCCCGTGACAATGACATCGGCCGGATCGCGGTGCAGATCCTGCGAGCTGATTCGCTCTTCCCCATGGCTGTCCGGCCGTGGATCTGTGTAACCTGCACGCAAGTCGAAGCCGACATCATCGAGAAGGACTGGGAAGTGGACGAGATAGTCATCATCCCGCACCTCCCATCGCCGGAGGAGTGTAATGTCGAGAAGGTGTTCCGCGCGCGTCGCTGGCAGCCCGTTGATATCGTGCTCGACTGTGCCGGCGGCGAAGTATTCCGGGCAGCTCATGCTGCTGGTGTTGTTAAGGACTACGGGGCTGTGTTAACTGTTGTAGACGGCCAGGTTGCGCAGCAGTCTCCGCTTGTTCCCGAGAAGGATTTGCTGGGCGAGAGGAAGCGGGGGATTAAGAGTCGGTTTGTGCCTGTTAATCCTGATGGGCCAGCTATGGAGCGGATTGCAGAGTTGGTGGAGGAGAGTCTGGTACGTGGGAGGGAGAATACTATTGTTGATATTGCGCGTGCGGCGGATCTTTTGGCTTCTGGAGCTGCTGGGACGGCGGGAAGTCGACGTGGTGGGATGGTAGTTGTTAGGATTAATAACGTTGCCTATACTTAGATTGTCATGATGATGCATTGATTTAATACAGAGATATCACAAGGACATCGCAGGAAGAAGCAATGCCGAGGGAAGCAACGTAGGGTTGTGTATCAATTTTAAAATATCGGGCCACTTACTTGATTAGGCCCAGAGACCCCTTGCACAATACCACCAAAAGTCGAGTTCAAGAAAAGAGAAATAAAACAAAGGGTGAAGTAAATCAGAGTTAATGAGATATCCCACACAAGCATAAGTTTTAACCCGAGGATTCAATATGAAAAGAAAAAGCGACGCTCTGCCCCATCCCACAAGATCGAACTACATGAACAGAAGAAGAAACCGAAGCATTGTGGCCGAGGTGCAAGGCAAGCGAAAGAGAAGGCGAGAAAGAAGTCGTGAAGAACAAAATACAAGTGTATTACGCGGTACCTCCGTTAAAGTAAAGAATCAAGTCTGGTAAAAACGCTCAAGCATGCGGCAACAATCTGTTTATTGGTTAGCACGAAGTACGAGTCAAGTGTCTAGGTATGAGCTGCGGCTTACCTCCATCTGAAGCTCTTTATCCTTGTTCCGATTGATCTCCTCATTGACTACTTGAGCCAAGTTGGCACCAATCGCCTGTGAACCTCCGGTCTTCCGGCCAAACGGCCACTGCGAATACTCTGCCAGCAATTCATCCACCTGCGCGAATGCTCTCTCGCGAGCCTCGTGGCTCATGGTGACCAAAGCGTTCTCGAGGACATTGGCGGCGTATGCGGCGCAAACCATGGTAATAGAGCGAAGGTATCGGTATTCGGCGTCTTCGGGGAGCCATGGGCTAGGAGGGATGATCACGGTGCGGTTGCTGCAGATGTTGCGCACCCGTCGGTGGAGCTCGTCTTTCGCGCCGCCGTCGGCCACGGGATGCGTCGCCATATCGAAGAGAAGGAAGTTGCGCTTTTCGGTCCGGAGAATACCCTTATCCACAAGACCCTTGGCCAGTCGTTCCCGGACTTGCTTCAATTGATATCCGATCTTCATCAAATTCCAGGTTTCGCCTACAAACAGTCCCGGTCAGTAAATACGTCGCAAGCCAAATTTTTGTTGCGGGCTGATCTCACCACTCAGCAAATCAATCCATGAGTTGACGCTCATCTTCTCGCTTGATTTCATCATCTTCAGCGTCTCGTCCAGCAAGACCTCCCCAGTCAATGTATCGTCGATGACTTCGATGATGCGGTCGGCCAGGGGGAAACGTCGCCGCGACGAATCTTTCTGCATGCTTATACGGCCGCGGAGCGCGAGCTCAATGACGATACACCCTCGCAGGGCATATGAGATGTTTTCGTTCCAGAATGACAGATAGCCCTGTTGTGGCGCGGGCGCGAGGTCAGCGATCGGAACCACGAATCGAACAAATCGGCCATGAGATAATATCCATGAAGACTCACCTGCTTATCTTTCAGGCCCAGCAGCAAGATATCCTCCATCAGAGTCAATTTGGGTTGCTTGCCCCGTTCCTCGTTTTCGCTGATGTCGCGGGGGTCGAATGCGATCTTGTGACCATTCTCTGCACTGGTAAACGACGTCTCCGGCCCACGGTTATCCATTGCAGAGCCATTTCGGGAGATTGGCGATGACACTCGGCTGTCATCTTGTTCGTCTGCCCCAGCGACTCGACCGGCGCCTCTGCGGCGAGTCAAGCCCCCGGCTGCTGAGGCCATGGGATCGGGTCGGGTTGGCGTGAGGGATCAAAAAGGGATGGATAGTGATATGGCCGGATATGACCAAAGTATTCCGATCTATATGCCGGTGTTGTTTGAATTGTCTGGGTTGGTGAGATGTTGAGACTGTTTAGACCGAAACTCTGCGGGTGAAGTGGGACCTTCGGTGTCAGGGGAAACCAGTGACCGAGTGGGCTAGCCAAAACGATATAGTGTCAGATATATTGAACTAAACCCGCGTAATGCGAGAGGAATGGGCGACTGCAATGAACGGAGTTGTGAAAGGGTGAAGTTCGGAGTAAGTTAGTTCGGTGATGTGGCTCGTTTGAGTATCTGCGGGTGCTTGAACGCCCGTCCAAGGACATTGTGGTGGTAATCTCCCCATTATGATTCTATTTCATGGCTCTATTATTTTTTTTTAAAAAAAAAAATTGGCCTTCTATAGACGACTTGGCATATATCTATGGTCTCTTAGTCAATTTCGATATGGTAACTTAAGTCTTTTGTCTATCTATGTTCATTAAAAGCCTAAACATATAGCCACAAAGCCAACTCTAAAAGCTACATTCATACATCTATGTACAATCATATAATAACTATACAGAGGTAACTATGTACCTATATATAACTACACTTACCTATGTATGGAGCTATCGAAAAGATGGCCCAATGGACCATAAAGCTGAAAACATACTTCATACACCAAAAATGTACAGACGCATTTGGTGATCATCACCACGTGGTAGCAATACTGCTTTAAAATTGCATAAATTGCACTCAAATGATATACACGATGTAGGAAAGAAAAGCCACTGGCATGTATTCAGCATACAAAATAGCATGTCAGTTGAGTGTCGCTGTGTCCAGCGAACTCCACTGATGCCAACATCCCGATTCTTTTTCTATCCGATTCTCCAACCGATCCCAAGTTTTCAAATTAAATATTTAGTGGGCTATGAAGAAGTTAGCAATTTCTAAGGGAGAAGAGGTGCTATGGGATTCACATACCATCGGGCTGGGCCAGGATGTACTCGACAGCCTTCTCAACTATGCGCAATATTCATGTCAGCTCTAGTTCACGAACCATAACGAGGTCATCGAGTCCTAACGTACCGCTGTGGATCTGGTCGGCCTCCTTGTCGGGGATCTCAATGCTGAACTCCTGTCGAAACAGTTAGATATCCATCATATAATATACAATTGATGCTTTTCCGAGGGAAACCGGGCGCGTACCTCCTCAATAGCCATCACAACCTCGACGGTGTCCAGGCTGTCTAGGCCAAGGTCGTTCGAGAAGTGGGAAGCGCCGTTAATCTGCAAGTTAAACGGGTTTAGTTGATGAATGTTTTCGGTCGCCTTTCTCATAGCTCATGGCGATATGAAGGTCACGACGGTGCATCCGATAGATAATCACTGACCTTGCTGGCATCGGAGACCTAAACATGAAACAAGTCCAGTAAGTATGTTGCTTTTCGTCTATAGCCGATAGATGGCGGGATTCCCCGGGAAAACAACATGACGCACCTTGTCGAAGTTCTTGAGCAGGTTGACTATCCGACCCTCGGCCTCAGTCTTGCTCAGACCAGCAGGGGCGGAATAGAGGCGGACACTCTGAGCGAAGCAGGGAGTGAATTGAGGGACCTGGGCAGCAATGGGGGAGCTGCGGATGTGGAAGGGAGCCGGGGTCTTGATGACACGGGGGGCCGAAGCCTTCAAGGAACGAACAATGGCGGAGCGGAACATGATGAAATAGATTGATCGGACAAGCGCAAAGGCTGAAAAGATCTAAAGTATTAAAAAGAAATGGTGGAGAGTAGAAGGGTAGAGATTGGGGGAAGACGGCTGCCGCAGAAGAGGAAAGATGTGAGGTCGCGCTCCAGCAAAATCCTGCGGGCCAATCAACGCCCGACAGAAAGGAATGACCTAAGCCCGAAACCTGCAAACCACCACAACCTCAGACTTGCTCCCCTTCCACCTCCAATTGAACCTCGATTCCCCCCATATATCCAACCTCACTCTCCTCTCCAAAACCATGGCCGCCACCCGCTCGGTCGCGAGGCTAATCGCCTACCGTCGGCCGACCCCCTTCGGATTGCTGGGCTCAACCGCAAACTTCTCTTCCTCGACGTACCGCGCAGCAACCCCAGCGGGACCCCCTCAGGCCGGGTTCCGCCTGCCCCCGCCCAAGCGCTGGGATCAGGACTCCGAGTCGGCCTTGGACAAGGCCAGCAAATACTTCCTCATGGCAGAGATCTTCCGCGGCATGTACGTGGTGCTCGAGCAGTTTTTCAGACCACCGTAAGTCCTTGACCCACCCCAACCTTGCCGGCGATGCGGATCGCAATCCAGAATCAATGACATCGAAATATATCAACTAATTGCGTGGCCATGCTCCAGTTATACTATCTTCTACCCCTTCGAGAAGGGTCCTATCTCCCCCCGTTTCCGTGGTGAACACGCCCTCCGTCGTTATCCCACTGGTGAAGAGCGATGCATTGCTTGCAAGCTCTGTGAGGCCATCTGCCCGGCCCAGGCTATTACCATTGAGGCTGAAGAGCGTGAAGACGGAAGCCGCCGGACGACCCGTTACGATATTGATATGACCAAGTGCATTTACTGTGGCTACTGCCAGGAGAGCTGCCCTGTGGATGCCATCGTTGAGAGTGAGTCGAACACCCCCCGGTTACATCTCAATTGACATTCAGACCGGATTACTAATATTTTGTCTTTCAGCTTCCAACGCCGAGTATGCCACTGAGACCCGCGAGGAGCTTCTGTACAACAAGGAGAAGCTCCTCTCCAACGGTGACAAGTGGGAGCCTGAGATTGCGGCTGCTGCTCGTGCAGATGCTCCCTACCGATAGTCTATTTCCCTCCAATCTGATTGGCATCTTCAAGGCAAATCCACATCCATTCCAGATGTTAGGTGTGTGGACACGAAGATGCTGGTCGCAATACCCATCCATTCAAGAGGCACTACTAGTGCCTTGAAAAACAAGAAAGATTTTAAGCCCCATCACATCACTGTACATAACTTGCCCTCGACTGTGTTATCATCTTGTACTAGTCAATTCCCAAAGGAAATGTCTTTCCCTGGAAAACTGGCTCCCTTGTCTATTTTTATTTCCTATGTTGTGGAATCTAGCAGCTCTGTTCTTCTGATTGAGATCCAATTCAAATATATAAATTCAATCGATTGAACGCCCTTATAGCTGTGCGGGACATTTTCCCGCTAATCGCATACATATAGTACATCTTGAGATCTAGAGGCTTAAATAGGGATAAAGACACAAGGAACACATATACAGCCCGATAAGAAAATGATATTGTATTCACAGATAAATCAAATCGCTACCGATGCTGTCATGCATAGACATAAATTGACAGACCAAGCCGCCAAAGACACAAACGCAAACACCAGGCACCTTGATCTCCGGACGGATATTTCCCAGTTCAAAGTCTCAAAACACTTTTTTTTTGTCGGTTCGGGGGCTTCTGTGTGCGACCTTAGTTCAAGGATTTTTACATCCAAGAGACAAAGACCGGTTTGAAGGGTATGCAGAGAAAAGAAAAAGAATAATATAAAAGAAGACGGGTTGATGTAAAAGCAAGTGAGAAACGAAATAAAATTAAGCCACCAGATAGAAGCTTGTTTATTTCTTCTTGCCGCCACCCTTGAAGCTGCCCTCGAATCCAGGACGAGCAGCCTTCTTCTTTCCACTACTGCTGGACTTCTTCTTGCCACCCTTGGTGCCCTTCTCATCCCGGCGCTTGCGAAGGTTCTCATCGCGCTTGGTCTGGCGCTGTTCCTTAGAGCTGGCGACGGTGTCGATGCGGTCCCTCCACTCACGCGCGGACTTCTTCTTCGCCGTCTCCTTGCGCTTGAGGGCCTTCTTCAGCAGAGAGGTATCGTCGCGGACACGCTCGCCGTGAGCACGCTTCTTGGCGTTCAGCCAGAGGTCCTTATCCTCGACATCAGCACGCTTGGTAGGATCCATCTCTTCGAGGCGGGCTTTCTTGGCCTCGGCAGCCTTGAGCTGGGAAGCTGGGTCACGGGCGCCATGGGTCTTCGGCTTTTCGCGCACGTTGGTTCCGGTGAGATCTGTCTGCTGGCCGTCTGTGAACATCACACGACCGAAGGAGAAGTTGTTGCTGGCGGAACCGACGGACTCGGCAGGAGAGCGGGGGGACGCCAGGAGGGATCCAGAGCCACCAGGCGAGAAGCGGCGGGCCATGGCCTCGTCATTCTTTTTCTCTTCCTCGACCTTGGCCTTTTCGCGCAATTCCTTCTTGTGTGCCTTTCTTTGTTCGGCCTTTTGTCGGCGGGCTTCGATCAGCTCTTGGCGGTTGCGTGCAGGCTTGCCGTTGAGTCCATCTGCGTGGCGCTTGGCCCGGAGCTCATCCAGACGCTTCTGTAGACGCTGCTTCAGCTCTTCGGGTGTGTGCTTGAGAGGTTTGGGCTCTGAGGATTTGGCTTCGGTGGAGGTGGAGGGAGGGACGATAGAGGAAATGGAGGAGGTGCCAGATTGGGGATTTGAGGCATCAGGAGAGTCGGTGGTAGAAGGGGCAGAAGAAGGGTTTTCCTGTTCAACGTTGAACTCAATGGAGAACCCTTCCTCGACGACACCGTCATCTTCTTGGTCGTCATCCTCTTCATCCTCGGACGCTTCAGTGTCCTTAGCTGCATTGCCGTTAGGCTTGGTTGCAGATTCTTCCGAATCCTGGGTAGTCGATGGCTTCTTGACCTGCTGGGCCTTCTCCTTCCGGGCAGCATCCTTGGCCTTCTTTTTCTCCATTTGGGCGGCCTTCTTCTGGGCCTTCTTCTCTTCCTTTTGCTTTTTCCGTGCCTCAGCCTCTGCTGCCTTGTCGGCGTCTAGCTTATCAGTCTTTTCAACCTGCTTTTGCTTCTTGATGTTGGCGGTTCCGCGGTTCAGTCCTTCCTTAGGTGTCTCCGTGCCCATCTCTCCGTCGGACGAGTCGGACTCGAGGGTGCCGTCCTCCCGCTTTCGCTTACGTGCGTTTTCATCCATCACGTCTTTGGCGGTCTTAGCGGCTTCGGGGTTCAACTTCGCCCGCTTCGCCTCGCGTGCTTGTTCTTTGGTTTGCTTTTTGCGTTGCCATTGATCCTAGAAATGAGGATGACGGTCAGATAGAGATCTTCGGAACGAACGATAGAGGCAAGAACACAAGCTGACTCCAATCTCATAGGCAGCACCTCATGAAATGCAACAAGGACTACGTACACTTGTATCTTCTTCGCCATAATAGTATTTGGCGGGGATCAAAGACAGCAGACCGTCAAATGCCTGCGCATGGCTGCGCAGCCGTTCCTTGAGGGCAGTCAGCTCGCAATCCTTGCGGGGCATTCTCCAAGTGCACAAACCTCGATATCATCCATAATCTTTTCCCGTAGACAGAAATTGGGATCTGGAAGGGAAAGCTCGACAGTCAAGCGCAACGAAAAATTTGGGGGGATGAAATCTTGGCGCTACAATTGTCTCCGCTTCGGCTGGTTCACCGCCTTCCCACAAACAATTTTGCTTTGTTGGTCTGTGCATTGATCGAAAGGTTCCTGGAAGTCGGTTGATTGTTCTCTCTACTTTATTGTTCCTCTTCATCCATTTTGATTGTGTTTTGTTTTGGTTTTGTTTTGGTTTTGTTTTTTTCTATATTTCTCTTCTACTGACTCTCTGATTATTATTATGCTTTCTTTTATTCAATCCATGAATATACGCTCAATAACAAACAAAGTGGACATGCCTTCCATCTCTATATCACGACTGATCCACGAGGCCAGTCCTGACATCTAGTCCAGGGCATTCCTCACTTTTGATACTCGTTATATTTCCATACGGCCAAAGATCTGTCCAGATCAGGTCGAATCTGAAGCAGTCAGCGCCAGGATACAACACAAGTCAAACAAACGAGCTTCTGCTGAAGAGTCGCGAGTCGAATACTCCATGGGACAACCGTCTCCCAGGCATATATTACGCAATGGAAACCCATACAAATAAGCCACAGAGACACGAAGATACAATCACTTACCGCTCATCCGGATATTCAATAGGCTCCAGAGCACCAAGCGCCTCCTCGATCCCACCCATGTTCGAATGCCGCCATGCAATCAAAATGTTGCCCGGTCCATCATACGACCCGATCGCTTTGGCTACACATTTCACTTTATTCCGCTTGCAGTGTGTGTCAACTGTGAGACCGAGGTCGTTGGCAAGAGGTAGAACGGTTTTAAACGCACGGCCATGCGCGCCATCTACAAACAGAAAACATCTTGTCAGCCATTTCTATGAAGCTCAATCTCCCGCGCCTCTCATTTTGGCACTGTGGTAGGTTTGCTCTCAAGTCTTGTTGTAAACCTACCCCATCTCACACGAGGTGCCATAATATGCCCTATGCCATACTCTGAGCCTTGACCGAAAACACGTCTCAAACACTGTGCCCGCTTGACCCCATCTGGGGTTAAACCATGATCGTTTGGGTTCTGAGGCTTCTCGCCGTGTCGAATCATATAGACCGTTGGGTGTGATTTGGTGGACGCTATGCCGAGACAAAAGTACAGAGCTGAGAGGGCCGATCGCAGTAGCATTTTGGTACACAGGCTAACTATAGCCCAGTCATATACAAAGGAAACGCGTAATAGCTCGCCTAAACAGCGGAGCAGTGAAGAACCAACAATGATCCCTAGGAGCAATTATAAAAGTGTGGAAAAGGCAAACCCCTTCGTTGGAAGTTGCCCATGTCGATCGGATACCCTTAGCTCTAGTTATAAGTGCAGGGCAACCATGATCCATATCCTAATATGGAATCTCACACCGAAGGAAAAAAAGAAAAAATAGCGCTGACATTATAAAAAAGCAAAGTGTGGATCACCTGATACTGGATAGCGTCCCAATGATCATCCAGCAGGACACAGGGCATAAGTTCTGAAGCACGGATGAGGAGTTGACAAACTACAGGCAGACGTTCGGTCGAAGTGCTCCAACTCGGCGGTTTGATTGGTTTAGCGTGTTCTGCATGTCCACTGCACTCTGTTGATCAACTCGGGGTTGAAACTGATCTCGGAAATCTGTTAGTATTTGTAGAGATCAAAGTGTTCTCTGGTTTAAGTTAATAGCGCATGTACAAGAAACATATCAGATCTAATGACGATCAAAGCCGTGTATTAGGAATATATCTCAGATGCGGTTTGGACTCTCGCACTCGACAGTGGTCAGCGCGTACGCTGTGCAACGCTGTACAACGTAGGATACACAGGAGGACCTTGGGGGATGGATTAAGCTACTGTCATCCGATCGAGTCCCATGTTAATAGTCGAATATTTTAAATCAGTCATGTGTCGATCATAATCGATCATCCAATGCACTAGAAATGAGAGCACCTGAGTGGTCCACGGGGTCAAGAGATGGGCTGTGGTGTGTCCATCAAGACAATAGGTGACCTGGTGATGATCTTCTTTGTCAATAATCATTGCAAGCAAGATGTGTTTATTATATTCTACGAGTTCTACAATTATTGATCGCGTGCTGTCGCATCAAGATATATATTGTTGACATCCCCGAAGTCAAATTGTATACAAGTGATCTACGTTGCACATTGTTCCCCCCCCCCCCCCTCCAAATTCGCTATCATGTGAAGGTCACTTCAACATGTTATCATTATGATTTCAATACAATTTGACTTGTTTTGGGGAGATGTGTTGACACGTCGAATGGTAAGTGGGTATGTGGGCTTGGTAATGTTGATGGGCCACCGATAATTATTATAGATGATACTACAGCTAGGTATATAACTTTGGCTTCAGGCACTATCTTTGTTAGAGTCACAAAGTTCGGACTCGTGATGTCAATATAGGTCAGGTCTGGAGAATATCGGGACGCCACCTTCAACAGTTCGGAGTAGTGACGATTCTCCAACTTTCGGGCGTTCTGTTCGGGTATTATGGGTCGGGACACAAATGAAATAAGGGGCTTAGCGTAGGCAGCAAAATAAAAAATGACCCAATACAGAATGCCGAGAGCCAGTGTGCAGTAGCGGAGATAAATTATTCTGGAAGATCCGTGGAAGCCGAGAGATCCGCGTTTGTTGTAATCTATTTTGGGGGGGTAGTAATGCATAAAGACTCAGCCTGGCATAGCCACAGTTAAATACCGTACTATGTTGCGCGCGGATTGTGGCGGTGTAATTAACTTAATCAGGCTGAGTGCATCCATTTGACGTTCTGGGGGATTCGATTTCAGGTCCGAACTAGTAAAATAACGGTAAAAAAACAACACGAATATGCAAGATATGCAAGATATACAGGGCTGAAATGGCTGACGCTTACCAAACGCTGCGCCCCCCCTCGTTTCGTAAGTTTTCGCTTGCCATGTGGGGTTCTTACCGTCAGCCCTGTGGTTACTTGGAGTCACCTCTTATAAAAGGTTGGCCCCTCACTTGACTTCTCTTCATCATTTACCACTCCTCACCTTTACACTACTCTCTACCTTCCACCTTCAATCTTTATCAACTTACATTATGTCCGGCTACGACCAGTACAACCAGGGCCACGGCCAGCAAGGTTACGGTCAGCAAGGTTATGGCCAACAAGGTTACGGCCAGCAGCAAGGCTACGGTGGCCAACAAGGTTACGGTGGTCAGCAGGGTTACGACCAACAGCAACAGTACGGTCAGCCTCAGCAGGGTTACGGCCAGCAAGGCTATGGCCAGCAGGGTGGTTCTTCCGAGTACTACGGCGGCCAGCAACACCAGCAGCAGGGCTACGGCCAGCAGCAGGGTGGTTCTTCCGATTACTACGGCGGCCAGCACGATCAGAACCGCCAGGGGTATGTGCTTCCCTCACCTTTCACTTCATTCATCATGTACTAACAGATCACAGTGGCTATGAGCAGCACCAGGGTGCCCCCGGTGATGCCCAGGAGGGCGAGCGTGGTCTTGCCGGTGCCCTCGCCGGTGGTGCTGCCGGTGGTTTCGCCGGCCACAAGGTCAACCATGGTTTCCTCGGAACAATCGGTGGAGCCATCATTGGTAGCATCGCTGAAGACGCCGTCAAGAAGCACCGCAACAAGGACGACCAGTCTCCTCCTCAGTACGGTGCCCCCCCTCCTGGCGGTCAGTATGGCGGCCCTCCTTCCAACAATGGCAGCGGCGGCTCCATGATGGATCAGCTCGGTGGCTTCTTCAAGAAGTAGGAGGTTTCCGATGAACTTTCTTCTTACATTTTCTGCCTGATGACACGGTTTTCATGAATTTCTTTCTTTGCTCTTATTATCATCACAATGGGTCGGCATGCATTTTTTCCCCTTCCGCCAGATCGTTTTCTTTTTTTCATGGGGCTTTTTTTTCGCCCTCAAGAGGCTTGTACCATGACAGAACTGCGTTGATATCGGAAATCACCTTTGTGTGATCTGACCATAATTTTCAGAATTGCAACGTGATTACTTTGCTGAACCGTTTGTTGTAGAGAACAGTAAATCAAACCGTAAACTGTAAGTCATAAATGATAATAGACAGTGCTATCTATGAGAAGAAGTGTAGTAGGCGGAGAGGCCAAAACACCACCCCAAGTGGAATAGCGCAAGGCCTCAGGCACCAACTGCCAAGCCCGACAAAAGTTCGAGCGGACAAGTCCTCAGTAACCTCCTTGTCAGACACATCTGCAATTTAGTATTCCCAAAATGATTATACGGAAGCTTTGTATGCGCCAGAGTGAGTGTGCTTCAATTGCTGCCATCACATTCAATGCCCCTGCTAACAACATCCCAAAGGCCGCCAGCTCCTTGCTCTGAGCCGACGAGCCCCAGTTTCGAGTCGCTTCCAGTCGACATTGCCCGAAACCCCAGTCGAGACATTGCAGACATCTATCAGAGATGAGATCTCTCGGACAGAAAACCCCCTGTTTGAGATGGTGCAGGCGCAATCCGAGGCCACCACACCCGCACAACAAGAATTCACATCAGACGAGCCGCAAAGTGAGCCGCGAATTCCTTCTCGGAGATTCTCCCAACACTTCAACTAACCTTATCTTTCTTTTCTTCCTCTAGGAAGCAATTTCAAAAAACTCGGCACAACCGTGAAATCCTCCTACGACCCCGAAAATGTCATCCGCAACCCCCCCAAGCCATCCCAGATCTCCCTGGAAATGCTGCTCGCAGCAGGAACCCACCTGGGCCACTCGACTTCACGCTGGAACCCACAGAACTCGCGATACATATTCGGTATCCGCGAGGGGGTGCACATCATCTCGCTGGACGTAACAGCCGCGCACCTCCGCCGCGCCGCAAAAGTAGTTGAGGAAGTCGCCGCACGCGGCGGACTAATCCTCTTCGCCGGCACACGGAAGGGCCAGAAGCGGGCCGTTGTCAAGGCGGCATCGCTAGCCAAGGGATACCACATCTTCGAGCGATGGATTCCGGGTTCTCTGACGAACGGCGAGCAGATTCTCGGCCACTGCGAGACGAAGGTTGTCAACGCGCTGGACGAGGAATTGCCTAACTTCAAGTCTGATCTTGCTGATCGCCCGTCGCTCAAGCCCGATTTGGTCGTTTGTCTTAACCCGCTTGAGAACGTTGTCTTGCTGCATGAGTGTGGTCTTAACAATGTTCCTACTATCGGTATTATTGATACCGATGCGGATCCTACGCGTGTTACCTACCCGATTCCCTCGAACGATGATAGTCTGCGGGCTACTTGTCTTATTGCGGGGATTCTTGGTCGCGCTGGTGAGGCGGGTCAGTTGCGTCGGTTGAAGATGGCAGCGGAGGGTCGGACTTCTTACACCCCTATCACGGCTCAGGAGCTGCGTCTTGATCCGTTTACGGGTCTGGCTCCTGGTAGTGAGGGGCTGAAGAAGTAGGGGATGCGTCTTGTGTCTTCTGTCTTCTGATTGCATTTTGCTTTAGTATCCGGTCGATTGCATTGAAACGACGGGACTCTGTACTGTATAAATGATTCCAGGTCTTGGTGTTGAGATATGTATTAACAACTTTGAGTCAATTTTGGTTCTTTTTTTACACGGTTTCATTGTAATGAGCAGGCGATCCTCGGTATGTAGTTGGCACAGAGATGACAACCACAACTAAGGCAAATTACACACTCAGCAAACTGTATGATGAAATACCTCACTTTGTCCACCCTATAACCCAGTTCATATTGTTTATTGCCCATATCCATTAATAAGGAGGTAAGCAGCACACTAAAAAGTTTGTATATCATACTCCAATAGCCACTCTAAGCTAGAAAAAGACCCATCCAGCCTTGATATAGCAGTCGGCGCCAACTATGTATGTACTGATACTATGTTAGATGATCACATCCTCTTTCTGAGGACTATCCTTAGCGTTTTAGCGACATCTATCAAGAGAGACCTATGCGAATAAAGACATCAAAATGCATAGTGAAAGTGAAAGTGTATTGAACGCTGCGAGCTATGTGCTGGGCGAGCTATGTATCCAAACAACGGCGTTTCGGCCACAAGTGATAGCTTCAATCGGCAAGCCAGCTTGAAGATGTAGCAATTCTAACCATATATGCTCCCCGGTCTCACTTCTGAGCCCACGGATGAAGGGTCTATTGCAGAAGCTGACATCGATGAACCTTTTTTCTAAGCAGCTAAATGTACGGTCTGAGGAATGAACTTGCCAATAAGTAATAGCCTGCGTAGACAGTAATGAAGGGAAGTCCGATGGCCTATAAAATGACGGGCTCACCAATCGGCCATCTATCAGGGTAGATGTCGCCGTCGGTGTCCATACCACCGGCAACTCCTCATGGCGGTGACAAGCGATGAGGAAGGAAAGTGCGTCAGATAGGCGACATTCTGGCGGGGAGGCACAACCCTGCTGCCAGTGTCGTGTCTGATCTTGTCATAACATGGCAATCTCGAGTGCCTGACTTTCTGCTTGAGGACCCATTGTGCGTCCTTGTTGAATTTTCATCTAGTATCAATGGGTATGAAACGTTTGCAACGGCGGATACATGATAGGTGATAAAATAATGATGGTTGAGTCCACTCATTTATGTGTAGATGGATCTATACAGACGACGAACAGGAGAGAAAACGTAACAATAGCAATTGGACGTACGATTATTGCCATGGAGTATGTATATAAGACCCTAGGCAGGACGTACGTCGAAGCTGCTGACGACCCTTTAGAGCTTTTTCTGCAGGATAAGCTGCTTGGGGATCGTTGCAGTAGGTCAGTTGTTAGCTCGTGGCAGGCCAGGTTTGGCATATCTGCTTCGACGTCCGAGTCAGAGGTTATTGTCAAAATCGAAACCCCATTACTGGTGTGGCGGTAGCTGTGAACTGCATCTGGGGCGGTGGAAGCTGTGGCTGTACTGATGCCGGGAGCAGGGCTGGTTTTATATAGTTATGCGTTGGAACAAATACATGTTCGGGCAATCCCGCAGTAAAGTGTGGAAAACACAGTCAATAGAGCGTTTGGAGCTACTATCTTTGCTCGTGCATATACTGACTATGTCAATTGTCTATAAATTGGCCCTGTTTTACTTGCTCAGCCCTGCAGTTGCGTTTTATATACATTCATACTACTAGCCAACCCCCCCTCCCCCAATTTGAGGGGATTATGTTAGATTTCTCTATACTACTTAGCCTTTAACAAATGTACAATAAAACTCTCATTGCATTATGCCCCATTTTCATGGAAACACTGACCCGGGCTTAAATTTGAACTATCATAAAAATCATGAATATCTTTTTGGATATTCAGAGTGCTGTTCCTACTGGATTAGTCGACTGAAGGGATGGTCCCCATTGATGCTCTTAGTGAACGGGGACGACCCGCTTACTTGTAAGTCCCCCTCATAATGAAAGATGTGCAATGTCAGGGAGCCTTGGAAAACTTGAAATGAGCTGGGCCTGGGGTTGACGGATTGTATATTGAGGTAGGCGGGTTGAGACGGCATTTTCTCCGTCATCTGTTCATTTGCACGTAACACCTGGGGTGATGTGATTAGGTTCCGCTCCTCTGTACTGTGATATCAACGCTTTCTTATATTTTACGTACAGAGAGGGCATAACGAGATCTATTTCTTTGGAACGAAACGGAAAGCAACAAGATTCACGATCTCGGTACCATCCACCTCGACAAACTCGCGGAATCGCTCAAACCCGCATTTCAACAGCACCCTCTGACTTCCACTATTGCTTGCCTCCGTGATAGCAATAAGGTGCTCATCCACTACACCTTCTCCAATGACCATTTCTTTCTCAACTCTGACCTCCCGCTCTGTCCGAGGTAATTCTGACCAAAATCGTAGCCAGGCACTCAAAAACTCCGTCGCAATGCCTTTCCCCCAAGCGTCCGTCCGAAGCATGTATCCAACTTCAGGCCATCCATGAGTTCCCGGATAAATATGGCACCCGCCGATACCGATAAGTTCGCCCGTTTCTTTCAGGCAGATGACATAGTTGGCCGTGATAAGATCGTTTGGAGGTAGGAAAGGATCCAGTTTGGACTTGGTCTTCTCAATACTTTCGTCGATGCACCCAGCCTTAGTCCATTTCATGACTTCTTCTTGTGTGCGTAGGACATGTAACGCTTCCAAGTCGGTTGATTGGGGGACGCGGAGGAGTAAGCGGTCCGTTGTGATTTCTGGCCGCTCGCTATTTGCGGGAAGTGGGACTGTGGGCAAGAATGCCTTCACAGTTACAAATTCACTCTCTGTGGCCATGTTGATCTTTTCAATGCTGCTCTCTTTGGAAGTTCTTGCGGTACGGTTGAGTCACTCGTATGGAAAGATTGAAGCCTGGAATCCAATCCAATGAAAGTGCACTAGCGCGACAAACCCACCTCGGCCATCTCCGAAGACCCACTACTTGTTGGTCAAGCAATCTGGAGTCAGTTAGCTGATTATAAATTAAACGAGTAACTAATTGCTGACCATAATCACACATCATATCTGCCAATTCCGTTTTGTAGGCTGTTGCATATTGCGAAGGCTACTATGTATGTGTTTCGCAAGATTATATATAGTTTGTCGAGCCAATAGATTGAAAATGAATGTTCTAGATCCAGGGTCTGGGATAAAAATAAGATATGTTGATTTTGCAGTTATAGAATCTGCAAATCATGTACGGAGCAGCCAAACTATAAAGCTTACAATAATGGATTTGCACATGTGCTAAAATGGCGTTGAGAATTGTTCTATTAATGGACTTCCTTTGTTGAATTTATACGGCACACGAGGTTTTTTTTACACGTTTGCCCCTGTTTGCTCCAGGACCTTGTAGATCCTTAGTTCAATGCGGCTCTCTTAGCGATTGCCCATAGGTATATGGCTGAACATTAAACTGGATTGCGCTAGCATAACAACTCTTTCAAGAAATGGGAGTTTTTATGACTTCTAAGGTTATTGTTCGTTTTATTGAATCGTTTCTTTCTCATCGTATTGTTATTCTTTGCTTCATTGTCTTAATTCTAGTTGATTGTATTGATCAAATTTCCTCTGAACCCCCTGTATCCTCTTGGTCTCTAAGTATATATATATATATATATAAGCCAGCACCTATAAACATTCCATCCCGTGGAAAAGACATAATACCAACAAATCGCAAATAAGCACGCTGAGAGACTTTTCTCTAGCTTCATCTTATCTAACTCCATAACCACTGTCACAGAGCAGAACGGCCGACAATTATCCTATACGAAGGGACAAAACCTACAGAAATGGATCGAAAACTACAGTGTAGCAGGTTGCCCGTACCCTATTTCCTTCACTTTGAAGCCCAGGCACCGTGACTATGTTGTCGACCGCGCATCTGCAAATCTAGATGCAAAGTTACTAACCTGTCTTAGCATGAGAAACGCGAATTCCACCTATCGAAGCATTAGCATTACGCAGCGCGACAACGGTCCACCAGTGTGGTGGATTGCGCGCACTGGGCCAGGAGTGATTTTTATTGACGATATTTTTAGATCCAAGCGAAGCGACGATCCATACATCTTCGAGTTTACCAAGGCAGCTTACGAATTGGATTTCCCTTTGAATAGCCTGCAGAATGTATTTGTGCCCAATATCAACGAAACGAACGCCCTGTCATGTATCAAAAAGGTGTACAAATCCCGCGAAGGACTTCGCTATCCATCCAGTACACAGCAGATCTGGGAGCCTTCCTCGTCTGAGTTCAGTGCTCGGCTAGGGACTGGAATATGTAAAATCGTTGCAGCGTTTGTTCTGTGTGCGTGGGGTCAAGGAAGAAAGCGAATTGCGAGAATCGTTACTTTCCACATTGATGCTGACGTCCACCAGCTTTACATGGGGTTTGATGTGGAGGATATATGACAATGCTTTCAGCTTACTTTCAGATTGCTTTGAATGCTTAGTTTGGGGTGAACAGGTAGGTTAAATTGATTGCGGACTTTTTTTTATTTTTACAATTAGTTGCTCCCTAATTGATGTATACAGACTAAACCAAAGCATTCTTGTAGAATAAATTCGATCGCCGATCACCACTGTCACCCGACGCAAATCCCAAGAAAAGACGAACTTCCCCGGCCGCAGTCTTATAGATGGCCAATCCTTCAGGTTCGCGGAATGATAGTGTTGATCCCGCTTTTGTAATGAGAGGACCCTGGACGACAGATCCAGTATTCATGTTGACAGTGGTCACGTCTGAATTGACCTTACCACCGGTGACATCATACGAGTTGCCGTACAAGAGATAGATATACTGGCCATACGCTGCATACCCTTGGAATGTAGCCGATGCTGTGTCCAACGACGGATGTTTGAAATTCGCGAGAGGGCTGGAGAAATCCCCATCCGTTGCTTCATCCAAGTTGAAGACGGCAATGTGTTTACCGTCACTAAGGCTGTGACGGACAATGAGACGGTTGTTCACTGGATCAATGGAGCATGTATGTTCTGTAGCACCAGTGATTGGGACGAATTTCTCAAGTGACGACGAAGACGACGAGAGTGTAGTTCCGCTAACAAACTTGAACCGAGCAAGTTTCTTGCCATATCCATTCGAATTGGCCTCCACTTCCGTCCATAGGTAGGATGATGAGCCGACTGCTTGAGCGCCAAAGGAGACGCCGTGACCAAAACTGGTTAAATACATGTATCCCACGTAGTTGCCGTCGAAGTCAAGTTGGGTAATGCATAGATCACCTGAAGTCTCAGAAGAACCATCACGTCGCTGAGCGACAAAAAGTCGCCGATTGGTGTTGTCAAATGCGAAGCCTTGCTGTACAGTGGCATCATGCAGGGACTTGCTGCGGAAGAGGTCGTATGAAGGCTTTGATAGATCGAAGTGCTGAGAGGTAGGAATCGTCGCTTGTACAGGCAGGATATTGAACGCTAGAACAATCAATGCAATTATGAGAGCAGCCGGTCCAAAGCCTCCTATCAAACGTTGGGTAGACATGATCGTGAAAGTACAGATTCATGAAAAAAAAAAGATCAGTAGACAACAAGTTGGCAAGCCAATACTGAATGTAGTATTTATGGAGACGGGGCGCGGGACGAAATACGAAAGGCCGAGTAGATCTTTGTCACAATAGGATCTTGGCTCCTCGTATTTCATATTTGGTCTAACCATAGAAGAGCCTAAATCCAAATGCAACTTGAAATTAGGGGCATTATTTAACATGCACATTTGACTCCCGAGGTCCCTTTCTGCCCAGGGAGAATTAGCTACGCCTACTAGTTCTTCATAGATAAAGCTAGCACCCCAGCTTCCATGGGGATTGATAGACCGGACAACATAATGGGGAATTTGGCCAAATCTGTAGAAATATGTCGGATATCATGTGTTGATCATAGTGGAGCTGGCATTGCAAACAAAACTAAAATAGTATGAAAAGACATGGAGACTGTAATCTCAAATGCCCGAAATGGCCATTTTTCCAGCACATAAAACGAAAATCTGAAACATGGTACCCATCGCTGTGATTTCAAAATTGTTCTGGTATCAATCCATCCAAGGAAATATCCCAATCCGTATCTCATTAAGGCATATGATCTTCATTCAATCATGAGAAGCACCTCGCGTAAAAGAAAAAGAAAAAGAAAAGCAGATCATATAAAAGAAAATCAAACGACATAAGGCGCAGGTCTGCGACTGGAGCTGCGATGACGCGAGTGCGATCCAGAGCCATGACCACGACGACTGGAATGACTACGTCTCCGAACAGTCGTCTCCTTAACAACAGTCGGCCTATGCGAGTGGTGCAAGAACAGCGCAAGCAGCGCAGTCCAGAAGAAGAATGCTGTCTCCATGATACCAATAGCAAAGGAGGCCTTCAGCATAGCGCAAGTCTTGTTAATGTCCAGCGATAGCGGGTTATCTGTGCGCTGGCCATAGGAACCGAATGGACCTAGGGAGATCCAGACGGAACCGCCATTCCAGCTTGCACAGTCTGCATTGGCGATGAAGCGGAGCTGGTAGACAGATGCAATAAAGGCGCCGAAGAAGAGTAGGTCCACAAATGCGACGAAGATTGCGGATCGCTTTGTTGTTGAGAAGCGGATTAGAGTGTCGAGGGCCCAGAAGATGGCGATTACGCTGACAATGAAGAGGACCAGGATATATGGTGGGGTCAGCTCATTTGCTTTTAGGTAGCCGTTGACGAAGTAGGCCTAAGTTTGGAGATATCGTTAGCGGGGGACTCGGAGGGGTATTACTGATCGGACTGGCTGATAGAGGGACATACCAGCATGCCAATGATTGGGATCAGGAAGACGATCTCAACCAGGCGGTTGAATATGAAGAAGACGCTGCCAATCATCTCGGCGGTTCAAAGAGAGATTGGGTTTCAGATCTTTGGAATGTGCAACTGTCCCGATGTGTTTGGTATGTCCAAGGTACAGTGACAAGGTCGTGGGGCTACACGAGCTCGCAAAAAAAAAAAAAAAAAGGCACAGGCAGTTGCGATTACAGTGCAGGATGCACGATGTAGAAGATGCAGAGAGATATGGAAGGGAAAGTAAAAAAAAAAAAATAGGAAAAAGACAGAAATAAGAGGGGGAATTAAAAAAAGATATTCAGCGTCATCTTAGGCCGAGGAGGCTGGGCGACTCACAATGTACGATGTCGGTGGCTGGGGTAACCCGAGTCCCCCAATGCTGATCTTGACACTTTTTATATATTGATTAGTCTAGGCACTTGCATGAGCCGTCCCTTTTTAATCCATGTCTTGCGTTTGATTACTCCGTATCCCTCGGGATGATAGGTTAGGGTATGAGAATATAGATACTCGTTGTCAAGCCAACCACATTAAGTGGAGACTCTACCGAGTACAGGTCTTGACTTCATTGTACTGGTAGTAAATTGCATAGATCACTATTTCCGTTAGAAGAGATATAGAACTCTTTTTAAATTTATGCTTGGTCTCGATAGCAGAAAATGTACAGACTTTCGTTTTCAACGCCAATATTCTCATGATCATACTAGTACAGAGTTGTGTCACCAGCCACCGCAATAATCTATGGCTGAATCAAATCATAAGCAGATAATCTGGGCAATCACCACTCTGAGCTAGCCTGTGAAAATCATCAATAACCCATCATTCATCTTCACATGGCCCGACTGGGCATGTTCGTCAACGGACGCCCTGGACCCGCCATCGGGTCAGAAACATGGATTCCCGCATTAGCCGTCAGCGGCTGTGTCTGGGACACATAGGCATTACTAGGATCATATTGAGGCGCATGGTGACTGGCATCATGGTTCTGCTGTCGCATCTCATAACCGTTGGTAACGTCATCCTCACTCGATGACCAAACACCAGCATCAGCGTCATGGTCGTGTGGGCGGCGATTGTACATATTGGATGCATATGGGCTAGAGGAGTGAAGATAGGTAGAGGCGTCGGGTCTGGCATGTTCCGAGCGGGGGATATCTGGGTCTATGCGCCCGTCTTCGGGGTTGCGGAGAGCAACCGAGCTATTGCGGACAAGTTGAACGGTATCGGGTCCTACAGGATCCGACCCCCAGCTTCGGATTGGGTAGGCGCGGCCCTTGCGCCAGGGTTCGCTGAGCGGTGGGAAATACTGGCGATATGCGACAAAGCCGCAGACAACCCCAAGCATCGACCCTGTGATCACGTCGAAGGGGTGGTGGCGCGCATCCATGATACGCGATACGGCCACAAGACTGGCTGCTAGTAGAGGAACCATGACGAGAAGGGCCTTCCAGGCCTCACCGCGATTGTCCATGATGTGCAGCTTTCCGCCTAACCAAAGCGATGTGTAAACAAGACCGGCGAAGGACGCTGTTAATTGGATTGCATTAGTAATAGGCACCCTGGTAAATCGCAAATGGGGGATACACACAACTACTGTGGCCTAGATGAGTCAAAGTTAGCATTTGCGGCTCTAAAAAGCAGTATTGGGTCATATTGCATACCGGACGGCCACGACCGAAACCCATCTGTTAACAACGCAGGGTCACCTGTACAAATAGTGGAGTTGGACAATCCTGGGAAAAGGTCCTTGCTACCAACGCGTGGTTGACAACGATCGATGAGATCGGGTCTCGGCTTGCCACATGCAGTCTTCAGCGCTTGTGTGATGAAGAAAGCGAGTCCCTGAGCCAGTATAAGACCCAAAATACCACAATTAAGCTCCCAAAGTCTGTCCTTCCAGCGATGCGGACCTCTCAGTTTCCGCTTCCCGGATGCTCCGTCCTGCGGCTTATGGTGTGAAAACAAGCCATCAATGAACAAGGTGTAAAGGATGATGAGAACGAGTGGGAAAACACCGGAGATACAGAGGGCGTAGACCATCGGGACGCGTTCATGTACGGCATAAGGATATTGGATGGATATGTTGTTGAGGGAGAAGTGTTGGTGGAACGGTTCGACCTTATTGAGAATCGCGAAGCCGATAGCGCAGACACTATTTCCGGTGTCAGTATAAAGTAAACAGAGAGGGATATTGATGTCCGTACATAATGATCACATAGTCAAAGATGTAGCTGAGGCATTGTTAGTTCAGGGATTTGTGGGGACCTGGGGAAATTTGACACACGAGATGACAACACGAGGTGGGAGCCGCCGCTTGGAGAAGGGGAGTTTTGCGGGAATTTCCATATTGACTCCAGGACTTCCCCCCAAAAAAAGAGACAATTGGGGAAGATCAGGATGTCAGGGTGTCAGAATATCAGAATATCAGAATATCGGAAGATATTAAGGGAAAATAAACATATCTGCCTAGTCACAAAGGGCATTGCTTGGCATCGGGATTAATAGTACTTGGCGCCTCCCCCTCTTCTTCCGTTTTCTCATATGATTGGCTGCCTCTAAGTGGCTGGGGCTTACCTGCGGACCTAGACTTTAGACATGGACATCTACGGAGTAACATAGTAATTAAACTGGGGATACTATATTGTTCCAGGGTCATGGTAAACTTAGCGGCTCAATTTTCCATCTCAGTTCGATATGGGGTAGTGGTTAACCTAGCGGATTTTCATTATCTATGACCTCCGCGGCCCCGGGTTCGATTCCCGGTATCGAAGTTTCTTTTTTCTTCTTTCAAAACCCTCTACATTAAAAAGTAATGCTTATTTTTGGCTCCGTGGAGAAATCAGACTTACAATCCATATTGTTTGCTTATATTATAGGGGGAAAAAATGAAGGAGTGAATGCCATGTACTAATAATACACAAGCTGAAGGAACGTTGACGCTATGTGCATGCGCCTCGATTACAACAACATCAACCAGATATGGCTATGTTTTCTGATCCACCAAATAGATAGTCAGCTTTTGAGAAGAGTTACTTCCGTATGGACACCGGACCAAAAAAAAGGAACAGTAACCGAGAAGCAAAATATCAAGAAAATACATATCGACGTGCAGACGTCAAGGAAGTTTACAAGCCATCAAAAATGCATGTCCATAGTCACAATCTACCAGTTTTCACAGAGATTCCTCATTTAGCAAGTGGTGATGAACAGACCGAGACTGAAAGTGCTGTTAGCTGATATACAGGCAAAAGGGAAAGTGGAAGAAAAACTTACGGAGAGGGGTTCCAGTCCTGGAAGAAGTCGAAGTCAGTGCTGCCAGCGTTCTTCATCTGATATGCGACAGCCTGGCCAGCCGGGCAAGAGAAGGTAGAGACAAGGTATGAGTTGCCGGGGGAAACGGTGATGGTACCAAGGTCCTGGGCCACCGAGGGTACATTGCTGAAGGATGTTGTGGACTCGGCGATGGCAGAGAGCTGAGCGAAGTTAATATTTCCATCACCACTGAAGCTGAAAGATGAGGTCTCGAGATCCTCAAGCTTGGGGAAGAGGAAGATGAGGCTGCAAGTCTTGCCAGCGTCGGAGTTCGGGATGTCGAAGTTGAACACGGTCGAGGTGGTCGAGCTCACGCTACCGTTAAGCCCACTTCCTGCCGCAGTGTCGGGCGAGGACGAGTCGACAGGGACAATAAGGTGCGGGATCTCGTAGTTACCCGATTGGGTACTGCCCGACAGGGTAGTGGCACAAGCACCGCCGGATGTTCCAGTGGCTGAGCCGGTGGGAGAGGTAGGGCTAGCAGGGATGGATGCGGTGGGAGATCCGGTGGGACGAGGGCCACCGCCAGTGGTAGCGGGAACGGAAGGAGATCCAGGGGGTTGCGGGCTGCCAGTAGTGGCAGGCACGCTAGTAAAGCCACCAGGGCGCGTACCACCACTGCTGGTAACATGAGGCACACTAGCGGAGACGTTAGGCTGCGAACCACCGCCAGTGGGAGCAGACACGCTAGCAGAACCACCAGGGTGCGAAGCACCGCCGTCGGAGAAAGGAGGAACACTAGCGGAGGTGCCAGGCTGTGTACCGCCGCCGCCACCGCCACCGGGAGCAGGTTGTGTAACAGAAGGCTTGATACCAGCACCGCCGGATGGGGCAGGCATGCTAGGAGAGGGTTGCGGCGCTCCACCACCACCGCCGCCACCAGGGCCAGCAGGCTGCGGTACACCATCACCTCCACCTCCACCAGGAGCGGAAGGTTGCGGCGCTCCACCACCACCGCCGCCGCCACCAGGGCCAGAAGGCTGCGGTGCTCCACCACCTCCACCCCCACCAGGAGCGGAAGGCTGTGGCCCACCGCCGCCACCTCCACCAGGGGCGGAGGGATGAGGACCAGGAACCGACGCTTGACCACCCCCAGGGGCCCCAGGAGCCCCGGAGGTACCAGAGGTAGGGCAGCTACAGTCAGTGACAGTGATAGTGGTCGTAGCAGTGTGAGTAGTACCACCTCCAGCACCAGGACCAGGAGCGGGAGCAGGACCAGGACTAGGACCACCTCCAGGGCCACCACCGCCAGTACTAGGACCAGGAGCGGGAGCAGGGCCAGGACTAGGACCACCTCCAGGGCCACCACCTCCAGCACCAGGACCAGGAGCGGGAGCAGGACCAGGACTAGGACCACCTCCAGTGCCACCACCTCCAGTGCCACCACCTCCAGCACCAGGACCAGGACCAGGACCAGGACTAGAAGCGGGAGCAGGAGCAGTAACACCAAGGCCAGCACCAGTGCCCGAGCAGGAGTCGGCAGACATCTGCACATTCACACAGCCAGTGACGTCCATCTTGTTAGGGGTAGTGTAGACATTCAGACCTCCGTTCTGACCTGTGGCACAAGCAACGAAGTCAGGGCTGTTGTGGTACTCGAGTATACCCTGGGAGTTGACAGAGAAACCGGGGGTAGCAGACACACCCTCGTCACACTGGAGTTGAGTGGTAGGGGCTGTCATACAGTCAGATATACATCCTTTCGTGGTTGACATATCGGGAATTTATTAGTTTACTTACGGGTGAGGATGCATCCACGGCCCTTGGCATCAGTGATTGCGCCGTTAGAGTCGATACAGTACTGTACGGGTTGTAGACTATCATCGCCAATGCGGTTCTGGCCATCACCCAGCTGGCCAAGTTTACCGGAGGCACCGCCGGAGGAGGTGAGGCTGAAACAGCAGCTATCAGTGCGGCCAACGAGAGCGTTAGAGCCGGCCGCAAAGGCAGCAAGGGTAATGAAGTTCCTCATTGTTGCTGTTCAGCAAATGTGGATCGGTTGATCAGGGGGCGAATGGACACGATGCCCCTTTTGAAGAAGATCGTGGACAATTGAACAGTCTGACAATATCTACCTGTAGTGTTGTGGTGGCAGATGTGGGATTAGTTGAGGGAGCACGGGTTTGGGGGAGAGTGCATCTTTATAAGAAGCAGTGGGTTAAAGCTCCAAACGAATCAACGAAGAATGTAACATCAGGGTACACAAGACCGGCAAAAGCCCCCGATATGAAAACATAAAGAAACAATAGAAACTGTACGCTGTCAGCCATTCATGCCGTTGACCGTGGGGAAGATCTCCGATGGACCAATACCCTGGTCCCGGAGAGTAGACAATAGTAGGTCCGAACCAGCCGGAGCGAGATGCGTAGCAACATGCACAACGTCATCTTGAACAGAGTTCCAATCCATTGAGATGTGGAGCAAGATGGAGTACAAGAGTCTGCTTGTTTCTCCACTTTAAAGCAGGACATGAAGAAACGGACAATGGTCACTGGCTGAGTATGAGAGGGATGTGGACTTGATATTTACAGTCCAGGTAACCCGCTTGAAAGTGGCAACATGCATTTTCCCATAGATCACTGCCTACTTGAGTCTCTAAGAGACTTAAATCATTCAAGTAAGTCCCATTGTTGATGCTAGATAGTGAGGATCATAACTATGGGCCACTATACTAACTAATACTCCAGATTTTGATCCGGCAGTGAGTATATATTCTACATATAAACAATTATTCCCACGGGTGTGGTCCTTTTATGCTCGTATGATATCGTTACCACCATGTGGAGTGTATCGTAAAGTATAGCAAACAAGACAAAAAATTAAAATGGACCGATAGGACTAGACGCTATTGTCACTGGAGCTGATCTCTGACTAGTGTCTCTATCTGGTGTACATACTACATACATTGTATGTATTCTTCAGTGTGGTAATTGAGTTGAGATAAAATTGAGAGAGAGATATATATATAGAAACGGGTGCTACTATGTTGTACAATGACTGTGGGCCATGTAAAAAATATGGGTAGAGACTTACAACATAAGGCACCATCTCATAAGTATGATGAAAGACGAAGATCAAAAGAAGACACCAAGAGATTGGATCGGATTGTCTACGGTGTGAAGCCGACAATTAATCATCATTGAACAATATGGAAGTGGAACCCCCGAACTGGACCCGGCCAACGACAACATCCGGCTATTTTTATATCGTTCAACCATGGCACATTTACATAAAGTCTCTCATTATGGAATTATTACCCACGTCATGTTATTTGCACTATTTGCACCATTATGCACATCTCAGGTGTAGTACAACTGAGTTTACTCCGCAGTGGATAAGTGCAACAATCCACGACGACGCGTGTATATTGGAGCATTTGATCTTGATGATCATCGCACAGTAAGGCCCCTAATTTGGATTCTAGAGCCCCTCTAATCCTGTCATGTTTGTACCCGTGGACGTTGTATCACATATGTTGTACAATATAGCCCGTAGATTGGGGATATGATACGGTAAAGATTCCTAGGGGAGCTGACACAAGAAGCAGTGTCCCTATACGGGGGAAAAATAAGAATGTGATTAGGAACCTGGCAACTTTATTCCCTATGCTAGCCCATCAATCGATCGCAAATGGTACATAACCCGTCGCATCTGATTGGAAATCATGACATGTGTAGGAGCATCCCATGTATGCATGTTTGTTAGCAGACTGAGCCTTGTTCGGATAGTTTTACCAGGGTATATAAACCCTGGATTGAATAGATCATGATTCTTCTTTTGCTTTCTCTTCTCATTAGTAGTAATCAGTTCTACAACAACATGGATTTAGATACGATAAACAGTTCAAGATTAATATACCGGACTTACAATGCATAGCAAGCCGCTGCTTTTATTGGCCCCGCTCATATTAGTATAGATTGTATAGTAGCGTACCTACCCATGAACGGGGTGGGGTTCTTCGCCGTTAGGTTGATCACCTCCCTCCGTTTATTAGCATATACCTGCGAAGTTTAATCCGACGTGCTATGTCGATCCTAATGTGGGCGTGACTGGATAGCCAAGTGGGGTTCAATGCACTATATTGTAGGAATGACGAAATTCTTTACTCAATTGACATATCATGCGTCATAATGTCGCGGATTTCAAATCCTATGCCGATACCGGTCATTTGATTACTTACTACATTGACAGAAATGCAGTATTTGACTCGGTAAAGAAGCTGCTCCAGTCCATTGTTCCTGGGTCGACATTGTCATCGAATATCTGCCAGAGGTCATCTAGAGCAGGCAAAGTAGGGTCCATTAGGAAGTCATCGATGTTACTGCCTGTCGGATATACCATGCTTGTAGGTGCTAGAGAGCCACAGGCAAATCCTGACGCAGCCTCGGGATCTTGAACAGTGGATTGCGTTGTTGTATTCCCCCCAGCAGCTGAACCCGAAGCGCTGTGCCGGCGAAGAGCCGTCTTGAAAGTTTCAAGCAACTTTCCTGCAAGAGGAGATTTCTCTTTCGCATTTTCTAGAATCGAAAATGCTTCCAAAGTTTCCGATATGTCCTTTTCCTGCGGATGACCACTCCCGCAAAAGTCTATGAGGAGAACAATAATCGCCATGCCGATGCAATGTAGCAAGCCTGGAAATTTCAGGCGCGCCGCCACAAAGGGGATCACCTCCACCGAAAACTGGCGCTCGGTTCGAATCACCATTCGAGCAGCTTCCAGACATGCTTTGCGTGAGTAATCATATGCAGGATCCTTCGACGCTCGCGACAAGTAAGGCAAGTGAAATCTGCACCTTTGCGCATGCAGCAGAAAATTGATTTTGTATCGTTGGATGATTATTCCAGGAGATCTCCGAGGATCAGATTTTGGCAGCTCGTCCGACCTAAAGTCCAGCGAAAAGAACGATGGTAGACTCTCAGCAAATTCACAAATCTTAATGTCAATCTGTTTCGTGTGTTCATAGTCCGGGCCTCCTGGATCGGACATTCCAAATGGAGCACAATCCGTGATTTCGCGGCAAAACTCGCCCAATCGAATCCGTTGGAGACAGTACGACATCGATGTGGGTTGAGTGAGTGGCTTTCCCACTTCAACCATCCCGTCTACAATATCTTCATCATTCGCATTGCAAGGTTTGTTGGTCATCATGTGACGTGGATCAATTGAATACGTGCCCTTCTGTGGGCCGGATATCTGCGACATCTGCCTGTTATCGTATGAACTCACATTCTTATAAGGAAGGGGAGAGGAGAAGAAATTTTACCAATCAGACGCCACGAGATACCACCACACTCTTCTACATATCTCTGCTTTTGCAGAAGAAGGCGAAGGCATGTCCAGGTTGGAATTGTGCGGATAGTCGATCCGATGCAACGATAGTTGTCTTGCAAATGAGATGGCAGTGGAAATCATATGCCGGGCTTGGGATGTAATTCCCACGATGTTGGTTGTCACAAAAAATATAATGATCATCGCTTGAATATCATGTATTGATTCGAAGTGTTTGTAACGCGAGTAATCGACCACCTCCATCGCAAGTCTCATCCACTGTATAGACTGCGCAACTGCTTCTTCAGCAGTCGAAAAGATGGGGTTGCACATGTCGCGTTCAGTCCAGAACGACGTGGTACTGGCGAGAATGCTGAGGAGCAATGAAACATATCCAATCTTGACCGGCCTGCTTTCTCTCAGGTCACAATAGAGTTCATCTACCATGGTACGCACTGAGGGAATATGAACCACATGATGGAGGAAGGTGATCTCTGTGATGTACTTTTCCAGTATTATTCTCGCTTCATTGTGAAGTGGTAGCCAGATACATCTTTTCGTGGGCTGGGCTCGATATGCCATTGGTTCAGATCCCACAGCATTACGAATGGGGCAAATTCTGAATTCAATCTCATACTTCAAAAGATTACCCTGTAAATTTTTGGTTTTGTCAGCGGTCGATTTCCCATAATTCGGTCCCACCAAGATAGGCATACCAGTGAGCCTGACGACGTAACCTCGCCTTCCAGCCAAGTTGCAGCCGCTGCAGATGAATGACCTTCCTGAATCATGTATGGTTGATTCGGTACTGGGTTAGGAGGAGAAGGAAGTGACGAAGCCTGGGTAGTATCTTGTCCTAGGGGACTATACGCTGCTCCATTGGTGATCACTATCTCTTCCAACCTCCGTAAGCGGGCTAGTACGTCTGTATGGTTGTCTGGCAATCCATCAATCGGGAGCTGAGGACTGGTAGGCAATGCTGTAGTAGGATATAGCTGACAAGTCTTGCCCCGACTCGTGCAGTTGGAGCAAGGGAATTGCCGATTACACTTCAACTTCCTCGATCGACAGAAGTGGCAAGATACAGGTCGCGAGCGTGAATATCTAACACGCTCTTTCTCGATTCGATGCATCTCTGCCCCTGGATATCATTGAGGCAATGTTTGTTCAGCCGTGGGAGTTCGAGGAGGTGAAATGGGGGCGAAATGTCATGGATGAAGTTGACCAATCAAAGCCCGGCAAATCCGCGGAAGTTCCGCGGTCTCCATGGATTTCTATTAAGGGAACTATATGTGAGACGAGGGGTATATAAGAGCCTATTTTTCACTAGGAAATTTAAAATGACCCATCAGTTCTGCTTTATCTTCACTTCCTTTAGCCCAAGAATCCTCTTATGTCATTTGTGTCAATATGGACTCCATCGTTGCTCAGATCCAAGCTATCGCCCAAAACACCGATGAAGCTGGTCGGTTGAACATCATTCGGGCACTCAAACAAGTGAAGGTTGACCTTCAATCTTCACACGATACCTTCTTGGAGCTTGCAGTACCGGTTCGTGTCATTTACTACAGCTCGGGGTTGCCTCAAGTGCTGACAGTTATAGGGACTAACGAGTGCGATGCTCCGAATCAGTGCAGACCTGGGACTCCTCCGCTATCTCACAAAAAGTGATAAATCCTTGACTGTCACTCAAATTGCGGATCTGACTGGAGCGTCTCCTCCGCTCCTAGGTAATGACCCCGGAGACGGCCGTATCTACTTCGAGTTCTAAAACAATTGTTCTGTTCAGAGAGAATCCTTCGTTACCTAGCTGGAGTGGACGTGATAAAAGAGACCGGAGTCAATGAGTACACTGCAAACAGCATCACTCATGTTTTGGCTGACACTAAGGGCGAGGCCATGATTTACCACGGGTAAGCTGCATAGTATCCTCTGCCTGGCGAGCGTCCCTGCTTACCTAGCATCCTTGATACAACCTTAGATACGACACTATTGGACCTGTCATGCAAGCAATGCCTGACTTCTTTGCTGAAAACAACTATCAAGATGTCACCGTCAATACCAACACCCCGTTCCAGAAAGCTCACAATACTAAACTCACCTCATTCGAGTGGCTTGTCCAGCACCCTAAGCACTTCGGAGACCTGCAAAAGATCATGTCTGCGCTTCAAGGATCGGAATGGACCGAGGGATTCAAACTTTTTGATGATGAAGCCCGTAAGATTTCATTCAAGGATTCATCCACCCCACAGGCTTCGGAGAAACCCTTCTTCGTCGATGTTGGTGGCGGCCATGGCCATCAATGTATCGAACTTGGAAAGAAGTATCCAAATCTCCTAGGTTACCTTGTTCTCCAGGACCTGCCAGAGGCTGTGGAAAATCTCGCTCCTATTGATGGCGTGACGGCCGAAGCTTATGACTTTTTCCAACCGCAGCCTATCATTGGTTTGTCTCTCCATCTATCCATCAGATACAACCCTGGAAGATAGAATCAAAAGCTGACATTTTCTTTCATCAAGGCGCCAACTTCTACTATCTCCGTAGAATCATGCATGATTGGCCCGACGACAAAGCCGCAACAATCCTCCGCAATATTCGTGCCGCCATGGGCCCCGACTCGCGGGTCTTGATCGATGATGCCATGTTGCCAGATACTGGCGCCAACTGGCAATCGGCCGTGGCTGATCTTGCCATGATGACCTTTGCAGGCAAAGAGAGGACCAGGCACCAGTGGGAGGCACTTGCGGGAAGTGCAGGCTTGCGTGTGGAAGAGATTCATAATTATGTTGCTGCAACTTATACAGCTGTTCTTGTTTTGGTCGCCCAGTGAGCAAAACATGTCCGTGAGCGGAAATTTGGACATATCTAGCAGGTTAGCGTGCCACTCTCTTCTCATACTATATATTTTACTACGTATTACCCCGTACACAATTTGCATTTTGAGATTGAGGGATGAGACGCAGATTCGAGCTGCTGTGCGGTTGGTAGGGTTGCGTTGTAGCCAAGCTGGGGTTATGATTACTGGCCGGTAGATGGGGGTGTTGTGGCGGGATATCATGAAATGAAGGGGATTGAGGATGGGGTTATGTAGTATCGCTACAATATCGAGTCTATGAAGGGATTTTGGTGGGATGTGGGTGAAGCAACGGGAACACGGTAAAACCAGGGGCGGACCTCTTTACTTCGCATGATCTGGTGGGTGTGCGACGCGGTTGTGAGTATGGATGTGTGGATGTGCATTTGAGATGGGCTGGAGAGGTGTGGCTAGGAACTGGCAAATATAAGTCAAGTGCATTATTGATCTCCATTTCCCACATATATTGGATGTTGTAGATACATTGATAGCAACGCCGTATATCTTTATAGAGCAACGTTCTTTGCTAGCCACCTTCAAAACGCCTTGCTAGCCGAGTAAATAACATAAATTGGAAAGTCGCTGGGAGGAAAAAGGAGGAAATCAAAAGAGCGAAAGAGAGGACGAAAGCCCCCGAGACTAATGCTATTACAGGTCGTGAATCGTGCGCGTGCTGGGCGGTATATCATGAATCTTTTCCTGGTAGGGTTCACTCATTGGCTGCTTTCAGGAGTGGTCGAATCATGGAGAATGGGTGGTGGACCACGGGTGGTAGTTGTCGATCCCGCTGAGACCATTCGGATTCCCGAGGTCCGCTCCGTCGGCGTTGGAGGTCCATCATTGTTGATATTGATGGTTTGGAATTGCGACTGAGTCGGCGTCACGGGAGACACAGTCATGGGACTGGGTAAATTGACGTGGATCGAAGGCAAACGGTCCATAGGTGGGAGCTGCCGCGCTTGTTCATTCTGCTCTGTAACAGGGCTTTGGTACGCGGGGGCATCACCCCAGTCCAGGTGCTCGTAGTCGGGAGGCGGAGGGATGTTGAGCATTCCCAGATCTCCATCGTCAGTTTGTGATTCCGGTCGGCTCGAGCCTTGTGTCGTGGTCGGAGCGAGAGTCAGTCGTTCAAGTTCAGTAGAATTATGCGATTCGCTCATAAACAACGAAGCACCGGACTGGTCGATGCTGGGTCGTTCGAAGGATTGCGCGGTGGAGCTAAAAGCGTCACTTTGCAACAGCGGTCGGCTATCCGAATCGTGGTTGTCAGAATTGTGCGAGTCGGCTCGAAGCCGTGATCCATCATGTCGAACACGTCCAAGTTCAGCATAGCTAACACTGGAGATGCGTCTGTCCCGCTCTCTCGCCTGGTGTTCAGCGAGGACTCTGGTTACGTCGACTGCACTGTTGGTTCCTGTACGGCGACGTTCCGTCCGAGCGCGAGCTTCGGCATTCAACTGTTCCAGACGAGCGGAATCCCCACGCAACCGGGCATCTCGTCGCTCCCGACGACGTGCCTCGCGATCGGCTAGTTCCTGACGGCGCTGCAGGCGAATCTGGTACATCGAGTCCATTTGTTCCTCGCGGCGAGTTTCCTGTTCTTCCGCCGTCTCCGGATATTCCACGACCATATCCATCCCGCCGCGTTCACCCTCTCGGGCGATGACTTGTTCGGTCGGCTTTGGGCTTTGGGAATAAGGGGGTAGGGTCATAATCGAACGGATCGAGGTGTCGCGGCGGACGCCATCAGTGGTCTGCATTTCCGGTGCTGTGCCAGCTCCAGGATAAGAGGTATCTTGGCCACTGGTTTGATTCGGGACTTGGCCGTATGATGCCTTCCCTGGACCCCATGCTTTCCATTTCCGCTTGAGGAATTTGCCCGGAAGGTATTTCGGTTCGTAGTGATGTTGTCGTAGATAGCGTAAGAGGAAATAAGTGCCCACACAGAGTGCGACAGCAAATATAATGCTCACAGCACACTAGATAGTCCGAGGTCAGCATAGGGGTCGGAATGATCGGAAATAACATACGATAATGAATATGATATTCTTATCATTTTTGCTATTTTGGCGTTTTTGTGGAATGTACATAGTGTTGGACAGGCAACTGGGCCTAGAAATACTTAATGGAAGGCATGGAATAAAATCCCCGGATTTCCAAAGAGTCGAGGAATGAGAGAAAATGGACAAAGCCCGTCAGCCTACTACAAAAGATGCCTAGGGCCCTAAGAGGTGGCTATTATTATACGCCAAGTATTGAAACGCTGGCGTGGCCCCAGGAGGCTGGTGGAGGCTGGTCTTTGGTTTTGTCCTCTCAGGTTTTCTTTTTTTTTTCTCCATCTTTTTCTATCTGCAATTGTCTACCAATCATTTCATCACTATTCTTGTTTTGAATGGTTTCCACAGTGATCGTTTTGCTGGGGGAGCCATAGGCGTTTCGCCAGGGTAGGACCCTTTACTCCGTACTCATCTCATATCTCATATCTCAAATCTTTTATTGCCTTCATTATTGATTTCAATTATTGACTTTCGATCGTGCGAGATCAACTGCACGAGTCCCTTCGCAGCAAGGGAAGCCTTTATACAAAAATAGATACGCCCTTGCGTTCGGGACCAACCGGTATGAGATCGTGCTGAGACATCTGGAATATCAAATCGCGAATCGTTAAATGCCCACTGTCAGAGAGAGCCCATTAGGCCCCGCTGTAATCATGTCGCAATAAAATAAAATAAAAATCCCCTTCACCCTGCTAATCTCAGCCCAAGTTGTGAAATGTAAATTAGAGGAATTTTCGAGATTGAAACGTCGTTTCCTTTCACCTCTCCTTGTCATTTCTGAAACACCCCCTTCCCTGCAGGTTGGCCTAACTCAACGGCGATCAGACTTCTCCCGATCATCATTCTCCACTAGCTTGTCTCGGTAGTTCTCGGTTATACTGATGGTGTAATCCAGGGAAGCAGCGAAAAGACCACGGCTGTGCGTGGTGTTGTGGGTGACAATCGTGGTGACTCCGTATAGGCGTTTTCATAGATCTAATTAGGACTAATGCCATATATCCAACTGGGTTTAGCACATGATTGTCCCGATCTTGCTACATATCTACGTATTATACGGAGGTCGATCACAAAATTTCTGTCTCATAATTTTAACGCTAGTATAATGTGGCTTTTGATTGTCTAAGATTGTTTCTTTCTACTTTCTATATAACTTTAATAAGCTTGATCTTTATACGTACGGTTCTTTTCACCTCTTCCTTTTCCTCATCAAGTATAAGAGAATTCCCCCGTGGAGATTATAGAGCTACGTTAGAAACAAGCCGTAGACAATCTCAGGTTACTACACTAGGCTTTGATATCTATTATAAGCAACTAGGAAAACCAAGAAAGATGGTCAAAGGAAGACATCTAAGGGTGCTAGGATACTATTTAAAGACTTAAACGTGCCCTCAAGCTATCGTCTTCATTCCCCATTTTCTCTTTATGTTATAATAACAACAAATACAACCGGAGTATAGAATTCTAGGAAGATTAAACTGTGCTTTAAATAAATTTTCACTTAAATAAGCTATAAGAGCAAGGACCGATTATGGCCTAGTGACTCGAAGGAGTAGTAAGTATAATTAGAGAAAAAGTAGCGGTTTAAAGGAGACGAAGATCCGAGTTGAAGACTAAGAGAACCTATAGACGTATATAAGCGATAGAAAATATTGTTATAGTATCTTCCTTTTAGGCTTAATTACCGAGTTGCCATATCTATATGGTAATTGAAGACTGAGTGAACTCGTTATCGGCGGTATAGATCGAAGTATTTCTATCTGTATCTGATCTGACGGGATTAGGCTTTATAGTGACGATAGAAAAATCGATAACCGGAGAGGGGTTGGTACCTCCGCGGTAACTGCTTCTTTGACTCGATACAAGATCATGAAGGACACAACAACGGCATCGACGCATTTGCCAATTTCCAATAACGAAGCTAGCGGAATAGACAATAATTGTAACTATAACACCGAGACTGTAGTATAGAGCAGGTAGGTACTTGTCTTCCATTTTAATATCAGATTCTGGAGATAGGAGAAAGTATACTTATTAAATTCTCTATCTGTCAATATATAGTCATATACGTAATGACGATTTATAGACGTAATGTAATAATCAATAACCCTCAATCAAAATTATCTGTAGAAAAGGTTACGCTCTTAGTGTTTCAAAAATGAGTAAAGAAGATACCTAGGTAAGATATTATCTTAGAGATGTATCCCGGCTTCTCCGGTTCTGGCTCTCTTGATTACTCCGGCTCTCATCTTCTTCTATAGCTCTCTACGCTCCGTATATCTCAATCTATTAACATTTCATGATACATTTTGATATCTCCCTAGCACATATCCTTATGTTTGTTGTTGAGGTATATCCATATAGTGATTATGTGAAGCTATGTAGTGGAGGGGAAGAACGTATTATATTCTTTCATATAGAGATTAATACTTGCTAAAGGGAAGTGTTCTATAAGGGTCATTACCACATATACTTCCTTGCCTTATCTTTGCAACTATAAAAGAAATACTAACGTATTTCACAAGCGAGCTAGCCACCCCACCCAACCTATTAACTTCAAATACATATATCTCAACCAAAACTCCATTAAATTAAATACACTAAAATTATCTATTCTCTAGACATGTATTTCTTTTATGACCATGGTTTTTGCTTCCACCGCTCAGTAATCAATTGAGAGGCTTCTTGAAGTGTCAAGCCAACTTTAGCTGGTATCTACCTCCAGGTCTAACGTCGCCGCCTTACAGCCTTTCAGACCTAGGTCTCGATATAGCCGTTGCGGGACCTCGCGGCCCTCGCGAAAGAGCAATTGTCACTATATATCTTATAAAGCCTCGCAGGCTTAGTGAATACCGACTAACGCCAAGGTGGCTAAGACAGTCTGGCTAGTCAAATAAGCTAAGCAGTCCTATCCCGGTCTTGATCGGCTTGAAAATGACACGAGCGCTATCAGCCAAAGTCGACAAGATCCTCACTCAGACTTTATATCCCCGAGGCAGATTTACGACCCCGCTTCGTAAAGGCGATTATCCAGAAAGAGCGTAGGATGAATGTATACAGATTCTTAGTAGTTTAACAATTGACCGACCGATTGGTATACAGTGCGGCGGATCTATAGTTCGGCGTAGCGGACTAGGGGCACAATAGCCTCATCTCGTGCGTAATAGTGGAATCTAATAGAAAACAGGGCCGGGCGAGCGAAAGAAGCACATTTGCACTTGTATAGATGGCGAGGTGGCGGAGCTCCATGGTCTGGATCAATAGCAAAAATGTCTCACCTTGTAGAGCACGGACAAAGATAAGGAGAAAGAAAAAAGCGGGCAGGCAATATATATCTAGAGATTGTAGGAGCGATGGGAGGGATTATATACAACCAAACGGGAAAAACGAGACAAAATCTTAAACTAGAAACGTAGACATTATATCCGTCCGATATGGAAGATAGCGAATGCCCCCTTCAGTGCGCCATCTTGCTGCTCGGCTTTGTCCCGGCGCGGCCGGTGTCTGTCTACTAAGATCAGTGCCACACAAATGGGCTCTGATAACCCGTGCTCTTGGGCGAATTACCATGATTCTTTGTTTATGTCCTAAATTTGATTTGTGTCCCTTATTCCAGACTATGACGTGGTGCTGGAAGTATGGGGTGCTGCCGTGACTCCAGATATCTAAACCAGCGTAGAAATAATAGAACGGCATTGCCCGGGGCCATTGTAATGCTTCAATCGATAAAGCCCCTCGACACTCATTGGACCATCACCATATTTCCCTCGATATTTCCGAATGGATGTAGTTGTTGCTTACAGTGACCAGTGAGGCGCAGTAAACGTCAGATGGGCTGACACCAACGTCAGAAACCTAGCGAATCTTCACCCCAGAGGCCCAAGTCTTTTCCCAGCCCCAAGTGGCATCATTGTGACATGGCCATTTATTGTCCTGTATGATATCTAGCAGAGATACTTCGGGAAATCTCCCCAACCCATCGCAGAGACATCTGGTTCTCAACCATATCATCATTTTGCTTAGGTGTATAATTTGTTGTTTCCGCTGTATCGGCGGAATTTTAATGTCCAGTCCAAAGTCGACTTTATCTACAGCTTCGGATTAACCGGGATTTATATGGACATACTTACTCTGTCTCCTAGGCATGGCCGAGTCCGCTGAGGTCCCACTGGATAAATTGGAGATCATGCGGGCTGAGAAAGTCCCTACCCGTCAGGTCTAGAGTATGTGTTTGTCGCATGTCCTTTTTCTCAGGAAATTTGACTTCGTGGCTTTGGAATGGGAACGCCTTGCCAATTTTTATACTGACGACTCTTCATTAACTGTTTATGAGCTATTACTACCAGAGATAAGGCAGTCCCAATGCGCTACAGTCCTGCGTGATTTACTCATCATGTTGTTTCAGTAGAGTTGATCGCAATGTCTACTGTGGGCCCACTAAACCGAACAAAGTACGAGTTTCTCATTAGTGTCGGTGATGATAAGGCACTACGGTAGTCGGTAACGGCTAGAGTTCGAGCAAATTAAGATATCGGCGTAATTACGATAAATTGAAGTGTGTGATTATGATTTTTGACTTGGCCGTTGGTCGTCGTCGTACAAACACCAACTTTGATAGATCGCCACTTATAGATCTTGGTAAAGGGTCTAGGCACAACGGCACAACGGCACAACGGCACAACTCTACTTAAGTGGTAATCACTGGCGATGCTTCAATTTCACCTATGCGTGAATATCGGGATTGAAATTGACATATGGTCTTGCTAAGGAATGTGCCGCGCCTGGCACGGGCAATTTAACGTTCATCGGATGGTTTTGTTTTGAGATGGGAAGGCATAAGATAAAACACGTGGATAGAATCCACACCCATTTGCTACTTTTGGATATTGCCAGACAATGACATGTGAGTAGATCTGACAATGGATTTTAACATATTGGATCTTTATTATATCCTAACACAGTGGTCTGGATGGATACAAATGTCATAGAAAGAACTCCAACAAAAGTGAGGTCCAGTAGTTCCGACCAGACTTGATAGAAGTCTTGGAAAACCATGTTTCATTGCATATTTGGTACTTTATGGAGGATCTATAAAACTTGGAAGATATATCTCTTCAACTGAAATGAACAACTCAGTTTGGTGCAAACAACATTATAATATTTCCAACACTCCTAGTATTGGAAAATCGGATATTTGACTAAGCCAAGAGAGGATAGAGGGGATATGCTGGCATCTGATCATCTTCCAGAATTATATGGGTTTCAATATTTCTATTGCCGCGTGATAATATTCTTTTCCTCTGGCGAGATACTAGTTTAAAATATATATATATAAACCCATTAAATCCATTACACCAAAATATTCCTTATAATTATTCTCAAACTCCTAAGCGTCAGGGCGTCTGCGGTGCGTTGTGAGGTTATTGAGCCTCAGGACTCGGGGGCTGGAAAAATCACGATTAACGGTCATATGATCTACTAAAAGCAATTCAAGACTAGTGTACGTTTTAAAGCTGAGCAAAATCTTAATAATCGTCTCGTGGCGGCATAGGAATATCAAATGGTTGTATTGGCCAATAAAATACAAGTATGGATGACCTGATGCTGACCCAATGGCCAACCTGGAATTCTCACCCGCCCCCTTGATAGGAAGGTGTTTCGTAAGTCGGTTGCCTTAAAAGGTCAAGTATATGGTCAGGCCTTCCATTTGCTAACCTATCGAGTTTCCACATCATATTTAGCTCGGAGTTATTCCCCGCATAAAGAGGCTAAGATGAACAGGTGGGAATTGGATCACCTGAAAACTCGGCATGATCGTGCCGTCCCGCGAGTGGCTTAGATCGACATTGGTATATACTGTTGTTGATATTGACGCGCAGCCTGTTCTGAACGATGATCGACAAATCAGGTAGCTGCTCCAATAAGGTCGACGCCACCCTCTCCGAGAAACTTGAGGTCATCGCCACGTTGTATCACAGGGTCCTGGTCACCCTGCCCTACCTGATGCCATGAGCTTGGCACGAACTCAACAAAGGACGTTGAGCGATAGTATATATTATGGTCCATATTGCGAGCTAAAATATCGGCAACAAGTTCAAACCCCTCATCGGCAGCCTTGTGGATCTTGATACGGCTTTCTTATTGGGCTTCTGCGCCAATCATTTCAAGACCTCAGTCCATCTGAATTCTTCTTCTAACACCGCAAGGCACTGATATCGCGCAAAATGGCAACATTGAACTTTGATTTGAAAAACAACACCGGTTCTGACACGGTCTATGCCTACATCACCGGCCAAGCGCTCGATAAGAACAATGCGCTTTTTCTCTTGCGATCCGATGGGAAGACAGCCTACTACCCGACCTCACCCTCGGCTACTGGGACCAGCCCGAGCGAGGATTGTGCGATCCCGCTAGGCGCATCTGGCAGTACCACCACTATCACAATCCCGCACCTCGCAGGCGCACGATTGTGGTTCGCCCGAGACAGCAAGTTGACATTCTTGTTGAATCCTGGCCCTGCCCTTGTTGAGCCTTCGGTATCCAACAAGGCAGACCCTAACTATAATCTGATATGGTCCTTCTGCGAGTTCACCTGGAATGACTACCAGCTTTATGCGAATCTCAGCTACGTCGATTTCGTGTCGATGCCCATCGCCATGACCCTAACCAACGGAGCCGGTGCAACCCAGACCGTCAAGGGTCTGCCAGCCAATGGTCTTGATCTAGTCTGCAATGCTCTCAAAGAACAGAACGACAAGGATAAAGCCGGCTGGGACCAGCTTATAATCCAGCGGAACGGCGTCAATTTGCGGGCCGTTTCTCCCAACACGGGAAGAACCCTCAATAATTCTTTGTTCAACAATTACTACGAGGGCTATGTGGATGAAGTCTGGTCTCACTATGCAAAGAGCTCCAACAATACTTTGACCGTCAACACGCAGGCTGATGCCGGTGATGTCACCGCCAAAGTTGACTCCAATCTCTTGTCCTTCTCAGTTCCAGATACTACTTACACCAAGCCGTCTACTGGAGACATCTTCAGCAATAGTACTGGATCCTTTGCTGTTTCTGGGAACGGCACCAAAGACGCCATTACAGCTCGTCTCGCTGCCGCGTTCAATCGATCAACATTGTTGATAAATAGCAACCAGCCGAACGGGGAGACAGTTTCCAACTACTACAAGAACTCGGTGACAAACCACTACTCGCGCATCTGTCATTCTGTGAACCTTGATACTCGGGGCTATGCATTCCCCTATGATGATGTTGCGCCTAACGATGGCCCCGATCAGTCTGGTAGTGTTTTTGATGGCAATCCAAAGCTCTTGACAGTCACTATTGGCGGCGGCTCTAGTAACTCTGCCAAGGAGTCTGTCGTTGAGGACGATGCTACACCAGTCCAGCAGCCCGCGGAGAATGGACAAAGTAAGGAGAATGGAAGGAAGCCGAGCCGCTTTCATGAGCTGAGGAGCTTTGTGGATAAGCTGTCGCATAGGAAGAGCAACACTTGAGAACCATAGGTTTGTCTCAGTGCTATTTGGTCATGCTGTCATATATTGTAAATGCTAGTCACTGGTATATACATCATTTTCGGTGGTCGTTCTCTCTCTTGAATTTGTTAGAAATGGGTCAATATGGGTTTTTATCTTTTCTCTTATCCTTTGCACTAAACATGAGAGTAAGGTATCCGCAAATTGAATGACGACCTGCATCATTGTAAAGAAGAGCCTTCCCTCCTCTTATTCCCTAGAATGCTCCTTAATGTAAGCAACCACCTGACCCGGCATAGCCAACCAGGGCGTGTGTCCCGTTTTAATTTTCTCAGTTTCAATCTGCGCCCCTCTCCGTCGAGCTCGCTCCACCAGCACCTGCTGAACCGGCAACGGAGTCGCGCGATCCTCCTCAGTCAAAAGATACACAGAGGGAATGTTCATGTACGCCGCACCGGTAGCGGGGGCATTCTGAGTCGCCCAAGAATGTGGCTTGAGAAGCTTAACCCACTCCGCACCATCGACAACATCATGGAAAAACAGCACGAGCGCATCGCTGGCAGTCACAGTTCCCTTCTCTTCCTAGAATAAATGTTAGTGGTCACATAGACATTTTGCAACTTGCAAGCAGAGATCGGCGGAACAACTTACATCGCGCACATACCACGGCGGGGGCATCCCACCAAATGCGCCGATCAGACCCTCGCCAATGCTAGGTAGGAACGCGGCGATGAAGATGAGTTTCACGACGCCGCCCTTTTGGCCAGCTGCTTCGCGCTCTGACTTGCTTAGTCCATCTAACGCGCTGCTCACTGGTAAGCCTGCCCAGCTGTGCGCGACGATGACGATGTCATGGCCGGCATCTGCTTCTTGTTGAGTGATAGATCTCACGGCTTCGATGTCTGGTTGAAGGTCGACCACTGAGCTGGCTTGCTGGATGGAGGGAAATGAGATGCTGTGGCAGGTATAGTCGGCCAGTTCTTTGATGATTGGGTCGAAGATGGTGGGCGGGTACCATGCGCCCGCTGCGAAAATCAGAGTTGGCTTTGACATCGTCACTCCGGTTGACACGAAAGTTATGTAAAATGGATGCAGGCGCTTGGTTTGTACAATAGAGGCCTGTAAGGCTGAGAGGTTACAGGGGGTCTGAGATCGACTAGGCGGGACTTCGCTTTGGTCAATTTAATTTTACCGCTTTTCTTCTTCCCGGCTGAATCGATATATTGTCTACATCGGTGTTCTCCATTACACCCTTGATTACCTATATTAGTGAGACCTTTACGTGTTGCGAATTTGCTCAAGTATATTGATGGAGTGAGATTGACCAGTAAGTACAGGAACCAGAAAATCATCGAAAATGTACATCTCAGGACTAATGACCAAAGGGGTCTTAGAAACAATCTAACCACCAACTTCCTCAGGGTCACTGATCAAGGCGTTCAACTTGCCACCTTCCATTTTCGCCAGAGCCTGGTACGGTCCATCCTCTACAACAGCTCCCTGGTCCAGAACAACGACATGATTCGCAATCTCGATCATTTCCTTCGAGTGCGTGATAATGATGACAGTAAGCCCCCGACGCACGGCCACCAACTGCTGCACTGTCTGCCGCACAATCTCCGCACCCACTGGATCCAAGCTGGATGTGGCTTCATCGAGAATCAAGATTTGAGGTTGACGCAAAAGAGCCCGTGCAATGACCACACGCTGTTTCTGGCCACCGGAAAGACCAACCCCACCATCTCCGATCACAGTGTTGTATCCCTGAGGGAGAGAAGAGATGAAATCATCAATCCCTGCTCCTTGGGCGGCGGCGCGGACACTATGAGATGAAGCCAGAGGTGAATGTTGATGTAGCCCGTAGCTGATATTTTCATGAATGGTGCCGGGGAAAATAGTTGGTTGTTGCGATACGATAGAGATCTGTGAGCGGAGAGTAGGAACATGCAGCCGAAGGATGTCTGCACCGCCGAGTGTCACTGTGGGTTGTCCAGTTTGGGAGGCCGGAGCTTCGTAGAGGGATAATAGCAGCGACGCGATTGTGGATTTTCCAGACCCTGATCGTCCTACGAGCGCCGTGCAGGAGTTGGGTGGGATGGAAATCGAGACATTCTTCAAAACCATTGTGTTTGGCCGAGAGGGATATCGGAAATTCAGGTTGGTGAGCTTGATTGGGGTGGGCTTTGAAACGGTCAAACTGCCGAGGTGCTCGTGGGATCCATCTTGTGGGAGGTTTGCAAGACGAATAAGCTGCGTCGCTATCTCGCGGGAGGTGTTGATCTGAGGAACTATCAAGGGGTTAGTAGGGTATTTCGAAGTGGTTCAGGGCCTACTAACTCCATGAGAGAATCTGAGCAGCGTATCCTATGCTGAAAAGTAGCATCGAGAATACCATCATCACATCGTTCACATTGAACTCGCGAGATGCTGCGAGCACCGATCCATAATAGAATATCAAAGCTGTTCAAAGGAGTCAGAACAATAGCAACCAAGTAGAGAATTAGCATGCTTACCGCTAGAAAATATGACTGTCGATTCTACCATACCGAAAAGTATGCCAGTATACATGGCACGCTTCAACCCCAGCAGCAAGCAGCGCGCGATCGCATTAGCTTGTTTACGATGGAAGTGACCTTCCAACGTCAATGTTCTCACGGTACGGATCTCTGAAAAGGTCTCGGTAAAGACATCGGCGGCGATATTGTTCGCATCATTGCATCGTCTTTCCCATAACCCATTTGTTCCCTCAAAGCCTCGAGTGATAACATAAATGACAGGCCCACAGGAAAGAGCAACAAGTGTCAACTTCCAGCAAACAATCAAACTCCAGATAATTGCCATGACGGTGATTGATGCAGCAACAACCACAAAACCAGCGAATCGACCTAGTAGGTTCCGCATGTCTTCTCCATTCTGATCGAGAGACGATATGAGTCTGAGAGATCCGTTACCATCTTTCTCAAACCAGGCCCGTGGTTGATTGAGAATGCGTTCAAAGGCATTTCTTCTAAAAGAATCCAGCCAAGCCTCGCCGCAGAGTTCTAGGAAGTAATGCATGAAAAAGGACGCAAGGCCATCGCCGAAAGACACCCCTAGTACAGCAAGTGACCATGTCATTGTCAGATGTCCACTGTTGGTTCCAGCATAGAAGGTTCCAAACAGCTGCGACAGACAATATGAGAATATCGGAGTTGCACTTGCATGGGCTAGTGCTGCGGCGAATCCCAGGAAGAGGATGATTCGCTGTCTCATCGTTAAAGTCGACAGAATGGTGCCCATAATTTGAGAGAGTGGAGTCATTCTTTCCTTCGGTATGTGCTGCTCTTTTGATTTCTTGCGGCGGCCATGAGATCTTCGACTGCGCTTCGTTTCCGATTGATCTGTCGCGGTGTATTCATTGGGCCGTGGATCCGAGTTCAAGCCCTGGTCATTAATGTGAACCATTTCGACTTCTTCTGTGGGAATAGTTATTTCTTTCAAGTCCCGTTGGGGACTACATCCTTCTGCCATGAACGAAAAACGTTGGCTCCAATCTTGCACGGTGGAATCCCCATTCCCGACCACATATTCCGAATTCCTTCTCGTCGTCAAGTCTAGCGAGCCAGAGCGAAAGCTCGGGGGAATGTGGCCTTGAGCCCAGGATGTCCTGGACCGATGATGTCCGAAGAAATCTGTTGGAGGTCTTAAGGTGTCATAGCTCTCCGATGATGAGCTCTCCCACGGAATGTCCCTCTTGTTCTGGGTGTTGGTCTCCAGACGACCATTGCCTTTGGTATGGAAATACTTTTCGCTCCCCGGACTTACCTCGACGGCATACCTGTAACCGGAGTTCACAATAGAACCCTGTTCGAGGATGTAAAGGAAATCCTGTTCCATGATTTGTGACATATCGTGGGTGATGATGATGGTTGTCTTTCCTTTCCGCCACTCGCGGATTGCTTTCATCACTGCGACTCGGTTGGTGTGATCAAGAGCACTGCTGGGTTCATCCAGGATTAGGATTGGCGTGTCACGTAATTTCGCTCTGGCAATTGCAACTCGCTGCCTTTGGCCGCCGCTCAAAAAGTTTCCACCCGGTCCAACGCAAGTGTCAATTCCTTTGGGAAGACCGTCGATTGTGTTCTCAAGCATGGCCAACTCGATGGGATCTTTGACATCTTCCTTAGTGATGGTTTCATGGTCCTGGCGACCGAAGGCGATGTTTGTAAGCACAGACTCATTGAAGAGAACACTCTTTTGCTCTAAAAGAGTAATGTTGTTGCGGATCCAGTTGGTGTCGAGTTCTTGCATTGGGTTATGGTCAATCAGTATTTCGCCTGAGGTTGGCAAGTAGAACCGCATCAGCAGTTGGCTGAGTGTACTTTTACCAGAGCCGCTTTTCCCTATAACAAACGTCGTTTCTCCAGCAGGGAAGAAAAAGCTCGACGGTTTGAGCACACATTGGTCAGGCTGATTAGGATATGAAAATGACACCTTCATGAATGTTCATTAGTGTCCGGATAAAACCCAGGGGATGATTTAAACCCACGTTTTTGACCTCGATATCACCTTCACAGTGTTCCGGATACCGCGTTCCCTTCACCTCGTTCACAATTTTGTCTTCTCTCCGGCTTTGTATTATCGATCTCAAGGCGGCACCAGCAACCTTTCCTTTTTCCATCACGATCACCTGGGGCAAGACCTGCTCGATAGATTGAGCTGCGGTCAGACAGGCCCAGAAAGTTCTGAGCACTTCTCCGGATGTGAGTTCCCCGGCACGTGCAAGCGAACTGCCATACCAGAAACCCTGAACAAACATCCCGAACATCATCCAGCGGATGATAGCAATTTGCAGAGAATTGTGTCGAGCTTGTCGAAGGTAGTGTGTAGCAGATCTCTCAATGCGTTCAGCAAAGTTCCGATGCTCGAAGGCTTGCCCATTGAGGCATTTGACAGTGTCAATATTGGTGATAGCATTGTTGGCAACTTTGGAAGCCTCGGTGAGCTCAGCCTGCTGGGCTGTAATGCTAAATTTCATTTTGGAGGAAAGGAATCCGATAATTGCTGAGAATATGGGAATTCCTGCAAGAGTTACCAGAGAGAGGCTCCATGATGTGTAGAAGCCCAGCCCTAGTGAAGCCAGTGAACGGCATGAGTATTGCAGCACAAGTCCGAGTGGCTGTGATGTCGCCATCTGCATTTCATGGATATGCCTGGAAACAATGGGATGTTAGATATTAGATTTTAGCGAGTATAGTGGCAAACTCACGCTTGAATCCCCGACAACAAAGCCCCGGAGCCCTCGCTTTTGGCCTCAAACCATTCAACGTCGCGATTTAGCAACTCTAGAAACACTTGGCTGCGAATAACGGAGGCCTGCATTTCCCCAAATGCAACAAACAAAGCATAGTATGCACCGTTCAGGAACCAACCAGCCACTCCCAGTCCAATCATTCCAAAGCAATTCGTGATTACTTGGCTATGAAGCCCTTGGGAATCAGTGTGATCAGCACCGAAAGAGGTAAACGAGTCGAACACATTGCCAAGAAAGATTGCAAGTGCCGGCGTGACAAGACTAGCAACTAGGGCGAAGATAGACCCGAATATGAGAGTTGGCAGGTGTCTTCTAGTCGTGAATCCGAAGAGCGATTTCCATCCCGGACTGCTCTCGGGAATATTTTCTTTGTCGATGTCATTCCGGTCGGAAGCCTTGCGTTTGGGCAACATTTTAGCGAAAGGCTCGAACGTCACATTGAAGGCCCAATATGACTTGTGGAGATTTTTCTTGCCGCGCTATAGTAGCATAGGAGTAAGGCAAGATGGAAGAGGATACAGATCGGCATGAAATAGTCATGACGGACCATTTGGATGTGGTTTCACAAATATAATCGATAGAGGAAGAACAATACTAAGAAATTTCCCAATAGAGTAACATTGAAGAGGGGGGAACAAAGACACCCATGCTCTGGCATTGTTGCGAGGCACGTGGGATGAATGTATCATTCATCGGTTTCAACCTTGAGACAGCATTCACAGCCTTCACTATCGATGGCGGATTTCTAACAGGCGAAGAAACCTAGGGTTAGAGGGTGGACTTAATGTTTGATGCGCGATGGCCACAATCACCTGTAATGAGAGCCCTAGCAAATCGGCCCAGAGAGACAACCCTGAGATAACGTTTATGAAGATGAAGAAAAAGACCAATAGAAAGACCAATGAAAATGACATTTTATTCAGGGTATATTTCGGACGCAATATCGAAAGACTGCATTTGAGTCGCGATTGGTGGTCCGATGCTAAATCAGAACCACATATTTATGGGGCATGACCACACTTCTATCGTAACAATCAATCTCAAGCCATGATACTGCGAGGTCTTGCAATCAGTATCACAGCCTCGAGGCCATTCATCATCTGCGCCACAAGGAAACGGGCAAATGCCGTGGGCCAGATCAGCCCGGATGTGGAACTGTCCTCGATTTCAAAAACAGCAGCATTCAGACACGATTTGTAATCAAGAGCTGGCCTTCTGGGCCTTCTCGTAAATCCAATCGTTCAGACCGGCGCGGTTTCTAGAGGACTCCGTCAGTTTCCATGCGTGACTCAGCCAGCTCCAACCGGCACTTACCTAGCGATCTCAACAGCGTAGAACTGCATGCGCACACCGAAAATGGTGGTATCCTGGTCATACTCGGCATCTGCACGGGTACGGATCATGGTGCCGAAGTTGAAGTCCTCGATCTTGTTCCACTTCATCATCCAGACGCGCCACTTCTCCTTGCCAGCCTTGCTCTTCATCTCATCCTCAACGAGGGTTCCGGTGGGATCGAAATCGGGGAATGCCTCCTTGAATGAGTCGTAGATAGCGTCGTCCTGCTTGGTCAAACGAAGCTGCGAGCCCTTGACCTTCTCCAAAATAGCCCAGTATGTCATGAGGTGTTCAACCGCTGCAATGTGACAGCATGTCAATATTATGACCTTGCCCGAAGGTGCGAATGGTATGTAAATCGATGCGTGACTGACCTTTGACGGCGAACTGCTTCTCCATCTGTTGCAATTGTCAGCGATCAAAGTACTTCGGTCTTTAAACTGTATGGACGCGGGGCCGTACATCCTCCAGATTCTCCGCCTCCTCGGGGTTGAATGGCTTCGACATTTTGACGGTTGTGTGTAAAGTAAATGCTTTGAAATAGGAACACAAGAAAGCAGTGATAATGACAAGTGGGGAGGAAATCAAGTGGGAGTGTTCGTGCCCCGCGCATAATTTTTTTGACGGGCGGAAAAGCACCCTCCGCCTTGCATAACGTCATTCCGCCTGCAGTCCACAGGTATAAATCGTTTCAGCGTTATGTTCAGCTCAACTATATTTAATTCTCTGTTATATCCAGGTAGATGCATAGTTACCTTTTTAATTTATTGAACCGAGCTAAAATCTCCCATATACATCTTGAATTGACGCCAGCATCGCTACAGAGCTATTGTAGGGTATAGTTGTAAACCGTGCATGCAGTGAATCAAGTGTAAAAGCCATGCTTCCAGATGAGAGCTCAAAAGCCGATATTATGATATTGAAAAATGAGAGCAAAAGTTAATGCTCAGTCACTATCAGTATCATCCGGCAGTTCTTCAAATCTTCCCTCGTGGAGAGCCTGAGTCACGGGGTTCTCGACATTGAGGAGACCATTTGCTTTGGCCCTATGATATTTATTAGCAAGAGCACTATATAGTTCGCTTATAATGCACATACCTCTCAAATAACACGAAGAGTCTCTCTGCTTCGCGCTCTTTCTCCTCCATGGTCATAGGCGGACCGGAGTCCTGTGGCTCAGCGGCCCACCGTTGACCAGTGATTGGATTGCGTGCGGTTTCAGGGCTGTCTTCGGCTGAATATGCTTCACTTGCACTCTGTGGCATCTCAATGCCGCGCGCTGCCAGGAAGCCAGCAGCGAAGCCGTAGCCAATGTTCTTAGTGAGTTTCTCGGCATCCTTATCTGATAGAACGAACATCAGCTCGGAAATTGTAACCTTCAGATTGGCGAAGTGGCTTGTCGAGAGCTTTAGAAGTTTTGAAGGGAGTGTTTCAGACTGTCCAATTGGCAAGCTTCGGTCAGTGTCCTCGGGCAGGAGAAGCAATTGCATACGCTTGCGGGGACCATCGAGTGCCACTTCGTGAATAGCGATAAGTGAATAAAGCAACGGGATTGCTGCAGCCTCTAGCTCCTTAGGGCTATATATGGATATGGCCTGATCCAAGATGCTGATCAACTTATCAACGTTGCAATTGTTGTCGAATGTCGGAAAAAGGGGGCTGGTCTCGAAAACCTTGCCTTTCTTTTCCTCCAAGTCAAGGATAGACAATGTATTGAGCAAGCCACCAACTAACCCATCTAGGGGCTTTGATGGGATATCAATGCGACATATAATCTTCAAAATATGAGGGATGGAAGGGGAGAACTCGGTAGCAAGATCTGGAAATATCTTGGAGATATTGTATATCAACTTGAGTGTATCAGACAATGCGAGTTCGTCCATTTGTGACAATGGTTTTCTCCCTGACTTGGGGAACTGCTTCGCATGACGGCTCAATTGCTATACTGGTCAGCACAGCACATCAATTTTCGAGTGTGACAATCAGCTCACGTAGTTGACATTCTCCCCCAATGTGTGGTTCTTGATCAAATCCGCAAAGTCCAGGGTGGTGTTATAGGTTGCGTAGAACAATATCCGACTTGTAACCATCTCGTCCTCTGAGTCTTCGGTCTATTAAATATCAGTCTCAGCTTTGATACTGATATTTGATCTGCTGCGGACGTACCTTAAGCTTTTCTGCTAGCTTTCCACTGTAACCTGTGTCCACAAAAGCCTGGCGCATTTTGGGGTCAAGCAATAGCGCATTTGCAACACATCGCAATGCCGCTCGACGTACGTCAGGGGTCTCCCCCTCAACGCCATACCGCACCAAGGTATTAATGCCCTATAAATGATTAGAACCAATTGTGATTTTGATTCTCGACGGGCAGCTTCATCCGTTGTGCTCATACATTCTGTGAATAGATTGGTTCTGCGTTGGTAGGATTTGTGCCGTGTTGTCGGAGCTGGAGGAGGGTTTGGACTCGGTCTAGTAGTTGATTGGATCAGCATTAGGCGTGTACATAGTATCAGGGCAATTGCATCCGACTTACCTGCTGTTGAGAGATTGTTCTCTTGTAGGTCCCTCTCAAGAGACTTTAGAAGCTGTGTCACTTGTTGTAGCTTCGCTGTATGCGCAATATCGAGTAAGTCAACCTGATTGCCGGGGTGAAGCTTCTCAATCTCCACAACGTACCTGTTCCTTGAATCTGGAGAAACGCCATGCTGATCTGAGCTCGGACTGACTCGAGTGTTCTGAGTAGGGGGGTGATGTAGGACTGTGTCACTTTCACTGATGTGGTGCGGTGAAGTAGATTCTCCTGCACACAGTATAAGAGTAAGATCGCATTAGCTTGAGTAGATAGCTATTGACGAGAGAACAAAAAAAGGGGAGAGAGCCACGCGGGGGAAGTTAGACGCAAATCGTCATAAATTATTTGGCGACCCCCACTTGAGCTTCTCCTAAGAACTTCTTCTCCAGACATTTATATTTATATATAAAAGTTATTAGTACTTAATTATAAGGAAAACTCTACCCTACACTATCCAGTCTAGATCTTTTGTATAACGTGAACTTCTGAGCTCCACTGTTTGCTGGAAGAATGCGACATGAACATATTGAAATCTCAGACGTTTAATGTCGAATACTCCACGTTGATTATGATCGATTGTTGATTGTTTCCTGCTACATGCCTATATACCGAAATACCCAATGATTATTGAAGCGATAATCAATTGCATGAAAAGTCCGCGTATTGATGCCTCGTCGCCTCAGGCGGTGACACTTTACGCGCATCGCGGCGCGTCGGAACTCGAACTTAGTTTTCTCGGCTGGATGTGGCTTCTTGATTCTTCAGCTTTAGTCTAAAACAGATCATGGACAGGGTCTGAACACCGTCTCATTCAGCAATGATCCTTGACTATTGCTTCTTTTCCTTTTCCACACTTCTTGTCTGATCCAAATCATGGTGGAGATCCTCTCTGCTCGTCCGCCTACACCCCCAAGGACAGCTTCGCGCATCGTGATTGAAAACACTGAGTCACCACTAGCAGTTCAAACACCTAAGGTGTCATCTTTTTCCGCGCTGGAATCGGCGGAAGCCGGCCCATCCAGCCGCAGTTCGAAGAAAGTGAATTTCTCGCCATGGCCCAAGTACATCAAACCACCAACCTTTGCTAGTGCTATGAAATCGGCCCCCGACTTCAAGACTACCTCTCCGTCCCCGAATTCCAAGCCTACGAAGTCGATCCTGAAAGCAACCCAGTCACCGATTCCCGTTTGGTCACCTAATGTCGATGCATTCACCACCGAATCGCTTGCCATGCTGCTCGAATCGGTCATCCAACAACTGGCAGGCGAGTCAATGAGCTCCCGACTCGATGCCTACATGCAATTCTATGGCGCACTACGAACGTACGATGGGCTACCGGCGGGTCAGAAGATCACCGAAAAGCTGAATCTCATCACCGAGTTTATTCAGCGAGATGTGAATCTGGACCTTGCGAACGTCTCCCCTATCGACACAAACCTTGCCAGCCAAGCTCTGAAACTGTCAGCTGCATTTGTTTGGCATCCGCAAATTTCGACACAGCTTTCG